TTTTTTTTCCCTCCAAGTTATCATCGTTAAAAAATGTTGACCTCGGGTGGAAATCTCTTTTCGTTTCACGTTGCTGCTTAGAGATTTCGTCACGTGAACGAAAAGATGCCCGGACTCGGAAGAGGGGATCTCAATACTTTTCGAAAATATTTCGCGCATTTACTCGTTTAATGTATATTTAATTTCTCGTTAAGGGATCACACTTTTGTACGGTCAGAGGGAACTTGAACTCCTTTCTCTCTGCTATATATACATATTTTCGTTCGTCGTCGACATAATGATTCGTCTCAACAAAAAGTAGCGAACAGTCCCTTTCTTTTTTCAATTTGTTTTTTTTTTCTTTTTTTTTTTTCTTTTTTCTTGAGGGGGGTGAAACAGATAGAAGTATTTTGATCAAAATTTTAATGTAAAAAAGAAAGAGAAAAAAAAAATCTAGACGAGATGTATTACGTTAAGTATAGACCAAAAACTTTCGGACGAAAGCAAGTACATATATAGTTTGTATTTGATCGTTTTTAGCGCAGAATCGATTGTAAAACTGATCAAAGCGAGTTTGATCGTGGGGATATATACATACATAAGGAAAGATATTTGTATATTGTTTAAAGCGAGAGAGTTTAACTCGTCGTAACTAGAGAAGAAATAAGAAGAATTAAGAAGAAGAAGAAGAAATGGTATCTTGTGTACCCATATTGTGCGTTACGATTTCGTAAGATAATTAGGAATTTATAATAAGTAAGGGTGTCAGGTTGGCAGGAAAACAGTGATCGAGAAATTTTCAAGTCCAAACATTGTGACGAGAGGAAAACAAAAAAGAAAATAGACCCGGAGAGAATATCCTAGCCGCGGTATAAAAGAAAAAAAAAAAAAAAAAAAAAAAAAAAAAAAGAAAGTATTAAAGCGTGTGTACGTTTATAAGATCGAGCCATAGTGAGAAAGAAAGAAAAAAAGAAAATAGGAATCAACAGAGAAATCAATGAGCTGCCATCGTTCCCAAACCCCGTTTAAAGAGTGTTTGCATTCAAAACTGAGGACATGAATTTTCTTTCTATCATTATTTACGATTATATGACGATTGTAACACTGACACGGGCTGTACATCTTGCGGCTGAATTCACATATTCTTTAAATTCACGCATAATTATCAACACATAATTATAGATACCTATTACGAGTATAGCATTCAAGTAGCAAGTAATAACAATAAAATAATGGAATAAATGTCATCTATCCTACTAAAAGTGTCGAGATTGTTGTTCTTTTTCCACTTCTTCTTCGCATCACACACCTTCCGCTCTCATTAGCGCGTTTCTACTTGTGTACTCGCTTCCCGAAGAAGACGTGTCGTCGTTTGTGCTGGAAGATTATGCTGAAGTGCTCGTTATTTGGTCGTATATTTCTGCTGGTAAGTTATACATTGTGTACTTTCATTCCAAAAACAGAGATTTAGTAATTTTAGTAATTTTTTTTTTTTTGTTGTGATTTAGTAACTTTAGTAGTTTTTTTTTTTTTTGTAGTTATAACCTCTTCAAAAAGAAAAGAAACTAGCGCAACATTGTTAAGTTCTAAAAGAAAAAGAATGTGGTAGCAAAGTGGAACGTGAGCTTAAAAATTCTAAATATAAATCTTTTAACTTTATTGCTTTATGTATGTCATTATAACAGAAAATTTATAATTGGAATTGCTTAATCCTTGTCCAAACTGATTGGGAGAGACAATTGTTCAGAGACAGTCGACGGACATAAATCTTGGTATTCTGTTTTCCGTTAGAATTGAAAACAAGGGACAGTATGTGGAAACAAACATATTGAAGAGAACATGCTATAAGGCAACTCAGTTTCATCATAGTTTTCAAGCTGAACATTAACTGCTGTGCATTGTATTAACTGGTCCCTTATTTTTTTTCATTATTTATATATATTATTCTCTCTATATATATATTATTTTTTATCCTGTTTATTGCATTAATTATAATTATTATTTCATATATCAGTTTCATCATAGTTTTCAAGCTAAACATTCATTGCTGTACATTGTATTAACTTGTCTCTTATTTTTTTTCAGTATTATATTTATATTATTCTATATATGTATATATATTATTTTTTATTCTATTTAACTCTATTTAACTTTATTATAGTATGTAGACAAACAATAAAATTTTACTATTTATCAAAAATATATTCATCTTTCTTCTGCACTACTTTTTAAACATTAATAAGAACTTTAGACAAAAGTTTTGGTAAGACGTTTGGTATTAATATTATTCAGTATTATTAGTATGAATTAATATCCTCGGAAATGCACATTCAACTAGTAAAGGAATCTCTTCTAGTTAGATACCTTAACATTGGTTGCAGCCAATCTTATCGAAGCAGGAACTGCTGCGCGAAAGATAGTAAATATATATATATATTTTCTGTTATCGACTATTTTTTATTAACAATTTTTTGCAATAAAATTTCGAAATCACTCGTAAATACTTTTGCATGGAATTTCTAAATTTCCAGAGCTACTTTTTAAGGTTGTTCCTAACTGTAGATCGTTTCCAATTGAAACTGCAACATCTCTGCGATCATTTAGTAGTTTTCTGTTTTTTTTTCTTTCGAAATTTTAAAAATGTATGCACTATAAATAATGTGAGATATAAACTGAGAGGTATTATGAAAGATGCTAATTTAATGCGGATTTTGTTAGCACAAACAGTCAGTTTACTTTGCCAGAACAAAGTTAAATTACAAAATAAATCCATAATTTTTTTTATTATTTTTTTTTAATTTTTTTATTTCCACAGATTAAAAATGTTTTATTAAAAAAGAAAAAAATAGGTGGGAAGAAACTTCTGGCCCTACAGAATAATTATCTCCAGACAATGTCTGTCAGTCTGAATTAATACTGGAACTACTGACGATTAAAGAATAAAATTTCCATCAGAGACACTGAAGACAAAAAAATAAAGAAACGTTACAATAGAACGGAGCATACAAGTTTCTATTCATATATTTTACGAAAAATTGTTTAAATCTTTAAAAATACACTGTTTTATATCTATAAAATGTCTAACAGAAATTATAAATGGTTCATTTTGACCATTTTTGGTAATTTTAGTGTTAACTTTTTACTAGTCAAACATTCTAGAACCGTATAATATTAGATCGTTGTTTTTGTTTCTTTTTTTTTAACATCAAGGTCTATTATGTATCTGGAATTTAGATTACTACATCACGAATCAATGACCTGCAGCGCTCCAAGCGGCAAACCATTTCCCAATGTCGTAAACATGACACGTTTAAATCTCCGTGAAACATGCATCAGTTTCCGCGCTTTAATCTCTTTTAACACCTTGGTATTTTTTCCCCCAAAATACACAGTAGGTCGAAAGGTAGGTATCGAATTTTCAAAACTTAATTTTCCGATTTGCATTTTTTTTTTTTTTTTTTTTTAGAAAAAACTTGGACTCGAGTAAGTTGAAATTAACCAAAATTTAGACTCAGGTAAGTTGAAATTAACTAAAAATTAAATTTGAGCAAGTTGAAATTAACCGAAACTTGGACTCGAGTAAATTGAACTTAACTAAAACTTAAACTCAGATAAGTTGAAATTAACTAAAAATTAAATTCAAATAAGTTAAAATTAAACTTAAACTCAGGTAACTAATCTAACTTAGACTCAAGAATAAGTTGAACTTAACCAAACTTTAAAGAAAACAGCTACTTCGTATGTATGCAGCTATTTATATGAGTTTATTTTTATGACAATTATAATCGTGATATTCTGTAACAATTACAAAATGGTACGTGAAGAATGAAAAAATTTGCTCGTACGCCAATGCGCACGTAGATCGACAGGTTGTCGTTCCGCATTCTTCTTTGTCCATTTGCCGTGGAAGGATGTTCAATGAGTCGATGGCCTTGACCAACTGCTATGGCGACGCGCATTTCCGGAAGTGCCTTGATCTCGCCTCGCGAGATCTTTCTCAGCTATTGGAAGACTGGTAAAAAAAAAGTAGCTCGATAGAAAGCTGGTAAAAATGTTCTTGATTTATCGATAAATAAAGTTCGATGCTACAAGCGAAATTATAATTTTACATTCGTACTTCTCAAGTATAGTATAGTCTTGCAAGCAACGGAGTATTTGACAGAACGAAACGGAAGGGAAATTGAAGAATTGAAACGTAAGTATAAGATAAATCTGTCTGTATTTTCTTATAATTTTCATTATAATACGAATAGCTATTTGTCACGCAGATATCATTTATTAATATTATTCTTATATTTAGATTTATATTTTGGTCACATGGATTTCAAAAGTTCTCTCTGTTCAAAAGTGACAATTACGATGAAATATATCGTGACAAATGGTAATCAGTTTGAAGAGAAGGATACAAGCTACTCGTATCTTCGTCTGGTACGATCACTTTCCGCTATCTTCACTTCTAAGGTGCCACTGGCACGCATGCGCAACACACCGCGGCGCGGCGCGGCACGGTACGAATCTCACTTATCCTCAAAATTTTATTCTCGTTTTACATCGTTCGTGGGAAAGGAAAACTCGACTTATAATTTCAATAAACGATCTAACGATTGTGTATAGAAATTTCGATATTTTTCAATTTAAAAAGACTTCAGAAAGAACATTACAATTGTCGTTGAATATTTCCAAAAAGTCAGATTGGATTTGAACCTTCTAAATGATTTTATTGATTGAAGATTTTACGAGCTGAATTTAAGAAATTTGATTCAGAATTGTGTTTGAACTTCTCGAAAAAAAAAAGGAAGTATAATTTTGAGGTGTGTCGAGGGGGGATTTGACGCGGGACGGCTTTGGTGGATGCCTTTGGTGGTGATGAGTACGGGACCGAAGAAGCAGGTGGCTCCTTATACACCATAGCACGGGTTCAATGTGTTCAGTTTTGCTATGACCGTCGACTGGTCACGAGATATCTCCGAGGCGGAACCTTTGTTTTGATACACGAGTACGTTTTGTTTCCTTGTTTCGAGGGAGAGAAGAGAGAGCATTGGCTGCAATGGAATTTCGAAACACACTCGTCGTGAGTTGGTGAACCACTCGTTTTCTTTTTCTCTTCTCGTATCTTCGCTTTTATTTTTTAATCATCATAATAATTAGCGTTATTTCATTTCTGTAATTTTATTACTTACCCCATGGTACCTTCTTCTTACAAGTAACAAATTATTTTTATACACGATTACTCGGGTAATTTTAAATATTTATATGTAACAAACGAACGATGATATATTTTTTTTAAATGTTTGTTACTTTAAATATTAATTAACTATTATTCTTGTGATATATACAGCCAATATCGCCACGCATTCGGTAACGCATTCTGTGCCAAAACTAACTAGGGAAAAGTTCGATAAGCTCGTTTCCTTTGCGCTAGTCGATGCTTATTATAGAAATGTCCCGTATTCAGTAATCACAGGGAACCGGTATTAAAGTAATACCGTTACACAAATGCGTAATAAACGTCATGACAGGAAAAGTATACCTTTCCGTCTTTCTTCAATATTGTTCTTTGTCGATGGAATGTCAAATGTTAATATATACAAATATTAAATGAAGATTAAAATGAGATCACAAAACAAGCATAAGTTCTTTCTGTGAATCTTAAAAAAAAAAAATCACTTGTAAAGTAAAAGAAGGTTATGTCATGGAAGCTAGAGCAAGCAAATGATAAAAACAAAAAAGGAAATTAATTATTCGCGTGCAGAAATCTTAAATAATTATTATTAAATTATATTAATTATTATTATTAAATATTATTATTAAATGATACAAAATATTATTATTAAATATTTCTTAAATATACTTCTTAGTTTCAACCACAGAGATAACTATAGTGTTTATTTAAGTTGAACAAAATGTTTTCTCTTTATTTTCAGAGAGATTTAAAAGCAGATGTAAGCTTTATTAACTAATAAAGATAATACATTACCTATTTCCCTTTTCTAATATCTGTCGTGTTTCAGACAATTTTACTACATCAACTCATTTTTTCTTACAAAAAAGTAAAAATTTGGCAATGTTTTGTCAAAAAAACGAATTATACAGGCCAAAAGTTTCTTCCTTATTTTTTTTAATGAAACATCAAAATGTATGAAAAAAACCAAGTTCAAGTTAAATTTAAGTTCAAACATGATTTTCTCATTATGTTTTAAAAATTACTCTTTTGTCTACTTTAGCTTGTAAAAAAAAAATTAAAAAAATATATAATAAGAAAGTTATTTATTTTAGTAGGAATGATTTCATTCTATACACAGGATACATTAAAATTGACTGAAAGCATTTGCAGTGACACTTTGCATAAGGAAAAAAGTGAAGAAAACATTTTTGATAACTAAATAATCCTTAACCAATTACCACATTTTTCTCAACCAACCATCCTGAGAATCTGTATAAATCCATGGTTCCCAACGTGGGGGCAATTCGATAACGTGTCATTGACAGTGAATATTTTGCATTTCTTCAAGTGAAAATTTAACTTTTTTTACTTATTTTCCTTCATGGATGTCATGTTCTTTGAAAGTTTGTTTAGATCAAGTTAGACGCTTCCTTTGCGTCAGAAATTCACTTTTTGAATAATAATAACTATGTGTCACAGGAGAGACATATTTTAAGAATGCTTAGGTGGGGCATGGTCAAAAAAAAAAAAAAAGGTTGGGAACCACTGGTATAAATGAAACGTCAAAACAACGTGCATCTTCGACAGCTTGTTTGATCGATGAGATGGTCTGAGCTTCGCAGTCCCGCGTAACGATTTTCGAAAACCTCGAAAATTCCTAAAAGTTAAAGAACCGAAAGAATGTAACGGCCGACGGTCGGGTGCGCTTAGTGGGGCAGAGCCGGTGTACAACACTATAGTCCCCGGGTATTAATAGTCTGCGGAGCATGGGCCGAGTACCGTTAAGGCCGAATACGATACACTTCGGTATCTTACTTAACGGAGAATGCCTTGTAAGAGCGAAATGCGTAGAGCTGCGAGGAGGAATCATCGACAGACGCGCTAGTTCGAACAGCGTGTTGTTTGTATGTCGTTGATCCCGGCTTCTGCTCGAATAACGTTTCCCCCTCCCCCGCTGGCGCAGGTATCGTCTGTTTGTTTTTAGGTTAAGATTTTAATTGAACCACCGTAACGACAGGGCCGAAAGAATTTTTCGTAGTAGATAAAGTGACGCGAGAATCCAAACAGTTATGAGTCGAATGTACGAGGACAGTGTGAAAGGAGAATCGTATTACGTAATTAAGTAACGTCGCAAATAAAAGGAATTGATATCGATAATATATGTGAAATTGATGTAGATAATTTACAAAAAATTGATATAGACAGTTTACATAGAAATTGATATAGATAATTTATAAGAAATAGATATAGATAATTTAAAAAAAATTGATACAGATAATTTATAAGAAATAGATATAGATAATTTACAAAAAATTGATATAGACAATTTATATAGAAATTGATACAGATAATTTAGAAACTAGTTGTAAGAAATATCTTATATAAATATGTTTGTAAGAAGTAAGTTGATACAGATATTTATAAGAAATTTGTACATAGCATACTGTACACATATGCATGCATGTATATATGTATGTACTATACGTGTTACATGAATTTTGTAGATGGTACTTTTATGCATTCTGTGTCACGCAAATGAATATCCGGACACAAAACAATCGAGACCGGGCGACGTCGATTCGACAACGGAATCTAACGAACCCCCGGAAGGATATTACGCCTTTGTGAAGTCACCGAATGCGGAACCGCCTAAAGTGAGGCCTCCACCTTACATAGACAGCGACAAAGAATGCTACGGTATGCATTTCAAAATGTACCATTTAATTTAATTTCGTGCGTCATCAATGAAGAACTGCAAATTATTCTCTGCTGCTTCCACATATATAAATACATACATGTACATATATAAATACACACCCATACACACACACACATATATATAGGATGTCTCATTTTAAGCAATTATTTTCTATTCGATATTTAAAAAATATTTCAAATGCATTTTTTTCTATTTCGAGGGGCAATAATTTGCTTTACACTTAAGTTGTCTCTAGATAGAGAAAAAAATAGTACCTTCGTATCTTCTACACGTGTCTATCTGGAAACAAATTAAGCGTTCCAAATTATTGGTTAAAATAATTAAAACAGAAAACAGTACATTTGAGAGTTATATTTTTTTAAATGACGAATAATTTTGGAGATGATTGCATTTGTAGATTATGGGAGCTTATTATAGAAATGGCACACTGTATACACGGGAATGAATCACGTAACTTGCACTCTGAAGTAACTTTTAAATTAGGCGCCTAATAAAAAATTGTTTGATACAAAAGTTGTATGGTTTCAAGGGAAAAATATGGTGTATCAACTTTTTCTGTGTGTTGAGAGATTTCAAACTTCCCAAGACCAATGTCTTTATTTTCTTTTTTTAATTGAACCATATATCTTTTCTTTGCCACAAATCGAGAGAATATTAACCTCTTGCCCTGGAATGACGTGCCACGCACGTCGAGAATATTTTGTCCAAAAATTGTAATATTTTCTCAGTTTTAAGTATATTTAAGTAAAACGAAATAGGCAAAACAAATAATAAATTTAGTACTTCTCAATAATTTCTATCCAGTGATATCATACCGACGAGTTCAAAAAGAAAACAACGAATTATTGTATACGGTTTGGTCACTCGTTACGGTCCGCAATCAGTTGTCGACGCAACGTGGTTAATCTCTTGCGCTGAAATGACGTGCCACACACGTCGAGAATATTTGGCCGAAAAATTGCAATATTCTCTCAGTTTTAAGTATATTTAAGTATAACCCAGGCAAAACAAATAATAAATTTATTACTTTTCAATAATTTCTATCCAGTGACATACCGATGAATTCAAAAAGAAAGCGACGAATTATTGTATACAGTTTGGTCACTCGTTATAGTCCGCAATCAGTTGCCAGCGCAAGAGGTTAACCACTTGCGCTGGAATGACGTGCCACGCACGTCGAGAACTTTTTGTCCCAAAATTACAATATTTTCTCAGTTTTAAGTATAACCCAGGCAAAACAAATAATAAATTTATTATTTCTCAATAATTTCTATCCAGTGACATCATACCGACGAGTTCAAAGACGAATTAATGTATACGGTTTGGTCACTCGTTATGGTCTGTCAACCAGTTACTAGCGCAAGAGGTTAAATTCCAAAATAAAAAAATATTAGTATAAAAGTATTAGTAAAGTACAAATCACAAAAAATTGATACGCCATATAATTTAAGAGTTATTTGAGGTGCAAGTTACGTGATTCATCCTATATATATATATAACATGTATAAATGTTTTTAGACACCGGTAAGCAGGGAAAAGGTTACGTCTCGATACACAATATTTGTGGGGATCTCAACAAGGGTTATATCCCGCGAAATCCTATGAATCAATACTTCAACGGCTCGTCGTATCCTTTGTAAGTGTAAAAGAATTGAAGTTCACTTATACACCATATAATTCACGTCTCTTATCCATTTTTATTTCTCTCTCTCTTTGTAGCGCACTATTGAAAAATCACACGTTGAAATTTCTGAGCAAAGCGTTGCCTATACTCAAGGCCGACGATTCATTGCCGAAGGTCGCCACGGTTCAGTCCTATTTCCAAAATTCGTTAGTAAACACGTAAAAAATATAAGTTTTTCTCTTTAAATTTTAAAAAAATGTAATTTCCTTTTTATTTTCTTAACATTTAGTTTTTTTTTTCTCAAACATACAAAAATATAAGTTTTTCTCCTTAGACTTTGAGAAATGTAATTTCTTCTTCTTAATATTAGCGTCGACACCGGCGAGAAACGAAGCAGAAGCAAACGATCGTCCGATTCAGAAAGCGCGTTGGACAGTCTGCGAAACGGTCGTAAATTCTGCGAAAATGGCGCAGGAGTGTACGTCACACAGCTCAGTATATTATAACATAAAATATTATTTAATTAATTTATATTAAATATTATTTTTATTTATATTATTATCATAAATTAATAAATTATTTTTTATTGTAAATATTGTTAAATAATATTTAATTAATTATATTAAATATTAATTTTTAACATTATAATTTAATATTAAATATTTTTAAAATAATATTTAAAAAATATTAAATTATAATGTTAAAAATTAATATTTAACATTATTATATTATATTAAATTACATTAAATACTATTATACTTAACACAATACAGAATATTATTAAACAAAAAATGAAAAACAGTTTAGATCTTGAATGGACAAATTTCTGTTTCGTTTTAAAGGGTGTGTATGCTGTACAAGGCTATACAAGGCGAGCCATTGGCTACCTCGGCGGCTGAACGCCGTGACGAGCCCTCCACGCCCGAGTATCGTCAACGAACACCGCCGCAAGAGAAGCCAGAGTACACCGGTCCACCCACTCCTTGTCCAGCCAAAGTGGAGTACGCGACACCGGTGTTCGCCAAGAACTATCAAGGAGTTTGGCGCTACGTAGTCCAAATCCCTTACGAGGGTTACTTCACGCAGACTATCGAAGTAACCAGATGCATGTAATACACGATACACAGACCATAAGATTCTCCACTTGTTGTTGTCGTTGTGAATAATTTTCAACGTCGATCGAATTTTTCGATTACAGGCAGTCGAGGTGTCATTATCTGGATGGTGGCTGCCTGTCGTCGCCAAGATGGACTAGTCTTCTAGTAGCGGAGATATTCTATCCGGACACGTTCCTGGAGGAGAGTCAAAACTCGAGAATTACCGGCCTGAAGGACGCCGCTGGTTCACCGCCCCCCGTTCACGATTTCCAGAATTACCAGCAATACCTGCAGAAACGCGCCGGCGAGAACGAGGCTCGCAACAGTGGATCCCAGCATCATTGCGACGGCGTCGACGAGATGGGTTGCTTCCAGGTAATCCAGTTGCAGGGGCTTTCTTTAAAAGACCATGTTGGACAGTGCCACGCGGCGCTATAGCGAGCAGAGAAAATGCCAAGCAACGCCAGAAAAGTAAAGCCTCTGTTTGTGCACGTGGTTTAGGTTTAATCGAGGAGAAAGTAATTAGGAGGGGAAGAAGCCTTCAATTGAAATTCAAGGTCAACATTTTTTTGTTTCTCTTTTTTGCATTGTATTCTACTTAAGGTAAACCATAGATCACGATTTAATAGTTCTGTTGAAAAATGTTGCAAGAAAGTTTCTCAGTCATTAACATTGTGAACGATTGCTAACAGCGACTTTATGGTTTCAGACGCCTATTTTACATAATTTTCGTGTTAGCTTTCACTAACGTTTCATTTATCATAGTGTCAGTGTGAGTCTAAATAATCAAACGATAAGACTAACTGTTAACACTGTTCGAAATATAAACAATACAAATATAAACATTACATCTGCGTGTTTAGAATTATAAAGTCGCTGTTAGAACGCACGCGTCCACAGTGTTGAATGATTGAGAAACTTTTTGGCCATTTTTCAAGAGAACCATTAGGTTGCAACCTATGGTTCCTTGGAAAAGTTTTACCTTCGTGATGAGCAGAGTACAATGCAAGAAGAAACAATTTTTTAACCTTGAAATTCGAGGTCGAGATGAATTTTGCGACAGGTCCTTTACATATATTTCCATCAAATAGAAAGTGTAGAATTCTGCGTGGCACCTAAGATGGTTAAGATGCTCCAGGTATAAATTTTCTCCTTCGTTTTTTTTTTTCTTTTAATTAACAATTTCCTGACACACCGTTTGCAGGTAAGACTGTACTACGATTGGTTCCTGGTGCCGGGAAGCTGCAAGTGTTGGCGCCCCGATTACTTCAATCGCTACGTCCGTCGAAGTGGATCTAACGTTGAATTGTGATGGCGGTATCGCATGTCAGATCGCGTGGATGAGCAATTGGACACGCTCGCGATACGCTCGGATCGATAAGCCTATCAGATTTGACCTCGATGTCTCGATCGATCGATCTGTTGTCTGTTGTCGACAAGTGTTTCGCATAATAAAGGATGGGCCAAAAATCACTTCTTACTGGCGATTTAAATCTAATCTAAAATTAATAAAATTTTTCTTATATTTTGATGTTTTATTAAAAAAAAAAAAAAAAAAAAAATAGGTCGGAAGAAATTTTTGACCCACCCTATATATATATATATATATATATATAAAACAAAAATTGCTTTTAAAGTAATTAAAATTGGCTCGAAATGATCGTCGAATAAGAAGGATCGCTATCGACGTGAATAGTAGCTTTAATATATTAATATATTAATACTGCTATTAAACCTGCAGCATTGTGCATGTTAAAGACTGAACAGAAGTACCATTATATCGCGAACGCAGTGAAACGCGCGCTAATGGAAAAGTTTGCATCAACGCGCGTTGTTACTAAGTATTTCTTTTTCTTTGTCTCTCTCTTTTTTTCCCCCCCGAAAGTATGAGTTGCATTTTTCATTTGCCAAGACACGCCGACTAATTAACGCAGTAGAACAGCTACGGGATCTTCTTTTTTCACTCGACATTAATATCTCGATGGTATTAAAAGTAATTTGTTTCTTTTTTTTTTCATTAAAAAAACGCGAGATGTGATCTCGAGAGAGATTTTTAATGGGAGAAAGAGAAGATATTACATTTTGTAAGAAATTGTATATTATTATATCTTCTCTCGTTTTTTTTTTTTTTTTTTTATTCGAAAATTATACGCTTTAACCTAGTTCTCTCTCGAGAGAGAAAGAGAGAGAGCACGGAGTGGATATATTACATTCGTTGTCAAAGGTTCAATCCGCTGAAACCTGTAATTCTACTTTTTAAATGTATCGACGTAGAAACGACCGACGTGGAGTCATACTTTCCATTTTATAACTACTTGTTATGTAATTTGCATAATACGTCCGTACTGCAGAGTTACAGAGTATGTACTTAAAACGCGATTGCCACGTTCGCCCACTTAAATAAATAAATAAACGAATAACTGTAAGATATACTGTCGAAATTGTGTGATGAAAGATCTTCCCAATGAAATTTTGTAAATATCTCCTGTAATCGATCAAGAAAAAAAAAAAAAGAAACAAAAACCATGACAGAGATCGACAAAATTCTTCCCAAAATTTTGTATCTCCAGTAATCAATCAAAGGAAAAAAAGATCGAGGAAATTTCTTCCTAAAAGTTTTTTGTAACTATCTCCTGTGATCGATCAAAAAAAAGAGAAGAAAAGGAAAAAAGCCACGAGAAAGACAGACAATCGAACAATCGTTCTCCTTCTAACCCTTTCTCTCTTTCTCCCTCTAATGCTCTAACAGCATTTCCATGCTCCAATTTCAGATCGTTGATAATCGAGTTTGCACGCGAGCTAGCGAAACCTAGAAACATCCCTAGACTTTTCTCGGATTTACAAAATGGCTCGTCTCTCACGTAGGTCATGGCTCGCCTTTACTTCGGGCTGCTGCCCTCCCCGTTTCTCCCCCCCCCCCCCCCCTAACTCCTCTTCACGTGCGTGGTTCCAAACGCGTCAACGGCAACGCACGTCCGATGTCGCAATTGCACGCGTAATTTTCCTTCCTCTTGTGCATCCTACGCCAACGCAAACGAGTGCGTCGTTACGACCCCCCGAAAATAGTTTGAGTTGGGGCAGTACGGCTGTTTACAAGCCTCCCCCGGAGATTCGCGAGGCAACCGTGGCCGTTTACAATACTACACACCGCCGTGTGTATAAGTATTGCTCGGTTGGATCAATACTCCGGTCGCTGAAAGACGAGGCGAGAGGCAGCGGGAACGACGAAGCGGTCGGAGAGAGAGAGAGTGAGAGAGAGAACCGCATGGTGTCTGTCGAGCATGGTTATCGAGCGATTCCACTTGTTATGGGGTCGTTGAGTTAAAAAGGCTGGGAGTTTTTTCGCGTTTAAGTTCGTTTTATTTCGTCCCGGGTCGACTAAGCTCGCGCTGAACGAGCTGATCGAAAGAAAATAAATTGTCTTAACCGATTGACTTTTCTCCAACCCCTCATCTAACCGTCTTTGGTAGTTTCGATAAACGTTTGCCTCGAAATTTGTCAAAATTGTTGAAAATTAAGCTTCGAAAGTTGTTGGATGTACATTTGACGTGCATTGGAAGATTATTTTTATTTCCATCACTTGCATTGCATCGATTCAGGTGCAGACTCGACTGCGACACGCTAATCGTTATGGTGGACGAACCGGTAAAATGTTCGGTTGAGTCACGTTATCCTTGCTTAAACAATAGCTCGTAACTCCGCTCTATGTTTTCTGTTCGATACTGTCGTTGATTTGTCTACCGTGATTGATAAGAATTGAAGAAACATGCGTGATATACTAAGAGGCTAACACGCGCACGTATCGTATAAGTATGTGTCATTTCTAATCATGATTGGTAGCTAAAAATTCCCTATAATTGTTCCCACTCCTATCTGATTCGTACGATCCATTGACGTGACATGTTTGTTGCATTTGTGCGAGATACCTGATAACACTGAATCACACGTTCCAGCTAATTTAGCGAAACAAAGCGTTCCAATCTTCTTCCTCTTCAATTTTTTCATTGCCATTCAATAATAGTTCAAATTCCACGAATACTTTATCTACGAGCGAACTTCTAAATTAAACAATGCGTTTTTTCTCACTGACACGTTGTATGTATTCACCATTGCTAATACAGTATTATATTAAACTGAGTGCTATCGGTAATTCCACGTGCTGTGGAATTACCGACCGACGTGATCAGTGATTACCAATTGTGCAAGTTGACTTTGCCAAAAGTGTCTGCACACTTTTCAGTACGTTACGAGGATACGTTCGATTTATGTACGACCAGTCGGACGTGTTAGCTCCACTATTGAAACTAATTACATCCGCTCTAATGGTTTCTGGTCTTGCTATTAAAACAAGCGCCGGGGATATATTGTACATAAACGGGGAAGCCGATAGCCAAATTCAATTGACCGTCTGATCGCTCAATCGGAAACGTTCATCACGTGGATGTCTCGAGGATCGATAAAAAACACCTACTCTGCGTCAAATAAGTGCATTCTCCCACGTGATTCAGTACAGCATATATACACATGCACGCAATATACGTACTCTATATAGATTCTATATACAGGGTGTCCTATTTTAACCTGCAAAATTTAACCCGAAACTTTAAAACAATGCCTCGAATACTTTTCTTTCCTGTTTTGAGAGGTTTGCAATCGTTTGATACACTTGGACATGTGCAGAAGATACAAAGGTCGCTACTATTTTTTTCCAGCGTAATTACGTAATTTCCTTTTGCATCAGTCGATGCAGCAGGTTCTCCACAAAAAAAAAAAAAAAAAAAAAGGTATCAACTTACGTCCAAAAATCGTTAGTCTGGAAGATATTCTTTTTATAAAATCTACGTACACTCTTGTCCTTCTTCATCTACGAAATTCGAATGAAAGTACCTGCCGAACTAACAACTTCTCCGTACACGTATGTTGATACTTTTTTTTTTACAGAAAACCACCTTCCGCGTCGACTGACGTAAAACAAATCACGTAATTATACTTGAAAACATACTATACGACGTACGCATATCTATCTGGAGACAAATTAAGTGTAGCAAATTACCACCTTGTGAAAACAGGAAAAATTGCATTCGAGACATTTTTTCAAACGACGACTAGTTTCGGAGATAATTGCGTTTATAGGTTAAAATGGGACCCCCTATGTGTGTGTGTGTGTGTGTGTGTGTGCGCGCGCGTATGTATTATACATGTGCATATATATAAATGTACATATGCATAGAGATATATATATATATATATATATATATATATATGTATGTATAAGAGCAGTGACGGCGTCGGCTGCTGCGCCAGCTGAAACGGAATAGTGGGGGGTAGGCGAACGTAGACGGTTCGCACAAGGGGAATGCGACGAAGGAACAGAACAGTTCAGTGTCAGCCAACGGAGGAGTGTCGTCGTCCGTCGTTGTTCCTCGTCGGCGGTGCTGTGTCCCACCGCGTTCGCTGACAGAACGCGAACCAAGTGCACACACGTTGGGTGGTGGACGGGCACGCAGGTCTCGACGAGACGATCGGCCAGGTTCCAACCAGACGACGTCACGAAAAAACAATCGACGGTCTTGCCCCAAGTTCGTGGCGGAACGCGACATGTGGCCGACGTTTCGAAGCGGCTCGCGACTCCCTGCTAAAAATACATTCGCCAAGCGATCGAGGTGTTACGGTGTAATTACAGCGGCGAGGGCAGAAACCGGCGACACGTCGCAATAAAAACGGGGTCAATCCCTCGTTTTTTCTTTTCTTCGTTCAGTCTCTCCAGCCATGCCAGTGACAATGTGCTTCCGTCAGCCGGCCTCGCGAACACTGAATACAGTCGCGGTATCGTTCAGAGAATTCACGAGACTCGAGGCGCGGGGCAGCGAATCCTCCCTGTGAAATTCGTCTGTCAGTCAGTCCGTCTCTGCGTCTTCGTTTGCAGGTGGAAAACTGTGCTAAAAACGATGCTCGATGGAGCCCGTCGCGGTTGTTAAGTGGATCCTCTTCTTGCTCGAAAACTCGTCGACTCGTGTGGATGATATTTAAAGAAACATTGACTCGGACTGGAACAACGACAAGACGTTACGTTTAACATATATGTGTAACAAACGCACAATACACGGTGGTAATAATAACATTCGCCGACCGGTGATCGTAGAGAGGGAAAATCACTATAGTGTCGAAAATAGAAGACTCCAACGGCGTTCTGTCAATAATGTCGCTAAACGACTGTAGCGGTACCATAGTTACCGTGCCATTGTTTCTCGTCTCGTAGAAAGAAGAAAAGAGGAACAAAAGAAAGAACAAAAAAAGGACGCGCGAACATTTGACACGTGACACGATAAGCTGGATTTTCTACGTGCAAGCCTAGTACAGAAACAGGAAAGCAGAACAATCGCAACTCGTGAGCGGAGTATGAACACCGTTTATCAGGTAAGTTTTAATTGTCGACTTGGACGAATGGGGAGGTGGAGGAGGGTTGAATTTATGGTACGTTAAGTCGATACCAACGTCGAAGATGAATTAGTCGATTTATTTTGGCGGAAGTTCGCGTCAGTCTGCGGAAATCAACTGGAAAAATAAATCGAACTTAATTAGGGCGGTTTTCTGCGGTTTCCTGCCCTACTGATTTCAGCAGTATTATCACAACGCTAGAACCACCGGAAGTGATCAAAACGACTAACTTGTAACTTTAGTTTTTTATAATTTTTGTAAAATTTCGTCCATCTATTTGTGAGATTTAAATGATTTTCTTTTTATAAAATATATAAATAAAACCTCGTATTATGAAGTTTTTCCACCTTTTTCTGATGAAGATTTCATGGCAGTAATTTTAGGTAGTTTCGTTAAGTTAAGATCATTAGTTTAAAATCCTCGTCTAATTTTTTCTCACAACTGAAACATCGTCCAGGTGTATTAATCATCCAGGCTTGTTAATTCCTCCAACTGTCAGTTGAATCGCCTGACACCTAAGCAAAAAAAGGCTGGAAAAAGGCAAACGATCGCGTTTTTTTAAACGGGATTCGCCCGGTATACGCTGCAACGTTTCAAGCTTTGATCTTGTTGTTTTCACAGATTTACAAATCGTGAATTTTTATTTTCGAGAAAAACAGAAACAAAAAAAAAAAAAAGAGTTCTACAACTTTTGCAACTCGAAACTGATCTAATCGTGGCCAACCCCATAGTGGTCGACCAAACAGAAAGGTTAGGGAAAGGACGATCGAGAAATGTTTTGATTTCGCGTGTCGGTGACTCTCCCTGCTTATTACCGGCCAGAAAACGAGGGAAAACGAAGTCACCCGAAAGAGAGAGAAAGAAAGGGAGAGAGAGAGAGAGACGTTTGAGACACGGGCACAGAGCCGAGTCGAGTTGAACGATTTCTCCGAGTAAAAAGAGAAGAGATTTTCTCGGTTGGGAAAATAAAGGGAAATTCGCCGGTGGTGTCGTTGAAGCGGCGCCGCTAAATTGAAAGGGTTAACAAACAGGGTCGGGGGGAATTGCAGTTTTTTGTGTGACCTACATACACACACACACACACACACACACACACACACACACACACACACACACACACACACACACACACAAAANCATACACACACACACACACACACACACACACACACACACACACACACACACACACACACACACACACACAAAAGTTGATACTGCAGCGAGTGATGTACGTCTGTCAATGGCGCTAAATTAAGTCTAATCGATCCTTTAGCAGGCTATTCGCAAACCTCTGATTTCATTATGTAACGTCGTTCCGCGCACCGTTGAAATTTTCTCGCCGTTCTCGTTCCTCCGTTTCTATCATTTCTCTTCGGTTCCTTGTTACAATGAATTATTTATTTTGGATATTTACTGTGATACTGGCACAAGCCCCCCCCCCCCCCCCCATCAACCTAATTATACGCGATTGCGCTCATAATTGACGATGCATCTGAAGGCTGGATTTTGCAATGCTAATGTCTTTTTAATCTCTCGGATTTTAATAAATTCATCGCGCGTTCATTCCGCGCGTGTTTGACGAAATTGTTAAACAACCTAAAATCTCTGCACGCATGATCTGTCTCTTGGTCACGTGTGTGAATCTTAATTTTCCGAATGAGACGGCGGTCGCGAATAGAATTAAGAATATTCATGCCTCGAACTTAACTAGAACAGTGGTTCTCAACCTTTTTAGCTCAACTAAGCATCTCTAAAATCTCGATCCTTTTCTGTGACAACACGTCATTTCTTATTATTCGAAAAGTGAATTTTTGATCTGGAGAAAGCCTAAAAGGCCGTTAATTTCAGGGTTCAAACAAAGTTCTGCAAAGTATGACATCCGTAAGAAAAAAACATTAGAAAGAAAAATTTTCATTTAAAGAAACACAAACAATTCGCTGGTAACTGATTGCGGACCATAACGAGTGACCAAGCCGTATACAACTCGTCTTCTTTTCTGAATTCATCGGTATACTGAATAGAAATTACTAGGAAATAATAAATTTATTATTTGTTTCGCCTGGGTTATATTTCAATGTACTTAAAACTGAGAAAATATTGCAATTCTGGGCCAAATATTCTCGACGTGCGTGGCACGTCATTCCAGCGCAAGAGGTTAATCGTTCTCGAATTGGCCCTCTCTAAAAAATTCTCATTATTAGAAATTTTATTGATGCAAAACAGCGTAGTTTTAGAGATTTAAATGATTGCCCGCAAAATGTATAAATCGAAGCTCGTGTATTCTATTGTGTCATAATGTTTTTTCTACCTCTTTTTTTTTTTGAGGCTTTAATGTCTCTCTAGTGGAAACTCTGTGCTTCAGTCGCCATTAAACGACTAAACTCCCAAGGGTTTGATCCACACATGAGAAAACAAAAGAAATGTTACACAAAGTTTGTCCAAAAAAAAAAAAAAAAAGGAACGCCTCGTTTATACGCATGAAATTAGGCAGCTACGCTTTTTTTACTTGTGGACCAATCCGAAACAAAAGATTTACTCGAAGTAACGTCGTGCGAAGAACTAGCGCAAAGAATTAAAGGAATTAAAAATTAATTTTATTGAAACTCGCAGAGACCTTCTTGCGTTATTAATTCCATTATTCGCCGATATCAAGCTCTCGGTGGAGTTAAAAATTGTCTTTCGTTGTATTGTTACAATGAACGACGCGAAACCGTTGGCACGTGAAAATGGACACACGCTTAACGACATCGTTTGCGTCCACTGTAATGGAAAATGCTATTTACGTGTCTCGTGTGTAACAATATTTATTCGTAATTCTGTAACAAAACATTTGGTCTCGAATTTTATACAATTTTTTTTTCTTCTTTTTGTGTGTAGATTATGTTCAGGACCACCCTAGTTATGTATAGAGTGGTCCAAAAGTTTCTTCTCACCTTTTTTTTTTTTTATAAGAAAAAACTAATTTTATTAATTTTAAATTAAATTTAAGTTCAAACGTGAATTTAAACTAGTGTACTTTATTCTGTAAAACAAAGATTAAGAGAAATATGTAACAAAAGAATTACGGATTTTTTTTAGTAGAGAATGATTTTTGGCCCACCCTGTACACATAAAGTGTGCTCGCGATGACAAATTAAATTTATTAAAAGCAACATTCCTTTTGTTATTTTTAATAATTGCTGACACGAAAAATTAAAAATAACATTTCCTTTGTTATTTAAACCTTTAAAAATATTTTTTTGTTATTTTTAATAATTGCTGACATAATTGCTGAAGAGGAACTTATTAAAAATAACATTTTTTTTTTTCCATCCAGCTACTCTCGTACTCGAGGAGAAATAATTAAATACAATGATCAAAACCAGTCGTCGGTGATTTTTTTAGTTAACTTGCAGGCAAATTTGCGAAAAGAGTGCTTGTTAAGTTCAAAAAAATAATTAATTTGACAGGATTATATTATATGTTAATTTCGAAAATGTAGATTTTCCCATTCTTTACGTCGTATTTAAATTATTTCAGTCGAATAAGCTTTTAACCAACGCGCAGATCGAAGGAGGAAAAAATTCGCAGAAAATGGCTCGGCGAGGAACCTTTCCGATTTTTTTCACTCGCCAGCGAATATTAAACGTACGTAGTTTGGGTTAAACCGTGGAACTTGGAAGGTCGTAGGGATTATTTTTAACCAATTAGTCGTGTGCGCGCAACGTCGTGCTGCAAAAATATTTAACGTTTAACGAGAGAGGGAGGGAGAGAGCGTAAACCCGTCCCGTAAATTCTATACGAGCATCGGCAAGCGGAACGTAATTTATCACGCGGATATGAAACTGTACGGAACTCCTGTCGCGAATTTGCGGTTCTCGATGGCGAAACAAACGCGCGCTTTCGTCAGAACCATCTTCGATATTGCACCAGTGAATAATGATGATGGCGGCGGGCTCGCGCGCGATACTACGCGTTTCACAAACACCGGTCTCGCCACGCATGTCACGGTCCTTTGCCGAAAATATTAACTACGCGTGTTAACCTCTTGCGCTGCAATGACGAGAATTGCAATACGGCCCAAAATTGCAATATTTTCTCAGTTTTAAGTATTATTAAGTATAACCCAGGCAAAACAAGTAATAAATTTATTACTTCTCAATCATTTCTATCTAGTGATATACCGACGAGTTCAAAAAGAAAGCGGCGAGTTATTGTATACGGTTTGGCCACTCGTTACGGTCCGCCATCAGTTGCCAGCGCAACGTGGTTAACTTCTTGCGCAGTAATGACGTGCCACGCACGTCGAGAAGTTTTTGTTCCAAAATTATATTTTCTCAGTTTTAAGTATATTTAAGTATAACCCAGGCAAAACAAGTAATAAATTTATTACTTCTCAATCATTTCTATCTAGTGATATACCGACGAGTTCAAAAAGAGAGCGACGAATTATTGTATACGGTTTGGCCACTCGTTACGGTCCGCCATCAGTTGCCAGCGCAACGTGGTTAACTTCTTGCGCAGTAATGACGTGCCACGCACGTCGAGAAGTTTTTGTTCCAAAATTATATTTTCTCAGTTTTAAGTATATTTAAGTATAACCCAGGCAAAACAAGTAATAAATTTATTACTTCTCAATCATTTCTATCTAGTGATATACCGACGAGTTCAAAAAGAAAGCGGCGAGTTATTGTATACGGTTTGGCCACTCGTTATGGTCCTCAAACCAGTTACTAGCGCAAGAGGTTAATGCGCGTAATTCGTTCGCTAGATAATTCACTTTCCAGATGATCTTTCACGCTGTTATTTCGTTGAAAGTCAACGCGTTATTTCAATGTTCAGTTTAACTCGATACACTCTATACTGTACAAAACTGTATCGAGAAGACGAAACCAATCTTTTTGTTCTTTTTTTTCTCCGCCATGTTTGTTCAAACGAAAGCGTTTGAAACGCTATTTTAGAGATTCGAATGAAAGTTCAGCAGTTCGGAATACTGAACCTACCAGGTGGATCCAGTTTAGAGGGGAAGAAATTTTCCACGAATTTTTTCACGCGGTTAAACGCGAGGGAGTTGAACACACAATTTGTGATGTTTCAACTCAATGATTGTGGAGGAAAGTGAATTTAATATTTCTTCTCTTTCCTTTCTCGTTTGCTCTCTCTCTCTCTCTCTCTCTCTCTCTCTCTCTCTCTCTCTCTCTCTCTCTCTCTGGTAATATAAAAATTAATATAGAAAATGATGAACAACGAATAAAGTTTGAAAAACATTTCACAAAAGAAAACTGAAACACGCGCAAATATAAAATAATTTTAATGGAAGCTTTTTCGATTATTTAAATTGTTATAAAATAAAAGGTACCTAATAAATTTAAATTTACAATCTGAGCTCTTCTTAAGGTGAAATGTAAAAAATTCAGTAGGAATTGCCCCTCTAGAAAATCAAATTGTTCCCTTGTAGGGCGTGGACCCTACGTTGGGAATCACGGGTTCTACACCCAGGGTCGCGAAAATATTTGCTCGGGTAAAGCAGGGTGGAAAAGTCTGAGAAGCCCTGGTCTGTACTAAGTCTGGAATCACGTTATTAGTTGCTTAAATCCGATGGATGTTTTCTTTTGAAAATAGTATAGTAAATAGCATAGAAGATAGTATAGAAGATAGTACAGAAAATAATACAGTTATAGAAGATAACACAGAAGTATAGAAAATAGTACAGAAGTATGAAAAGTAGTATAGAAAATAGTATAGCTATAGAAGATAGTGTAGAAGTATAGAAAATAGTATCAAAGTATGGAAAGTAGTATAGAAAATAGTATAGCTATAGAAGATAGTGTAGAAGTACAGAAAATAGTATAGTATAGCTACAGAAGTTAGTAGAGAAGTATAAAAAATAACATAAAAGTACAGAAAATAGTATAGTTATAGGAGACAGTACAGAAGTATAGAAAATAGTTAGAGAGGATAGTACACAAGTATAGAAAATAGTATAGTCACAGAAGATAGTGTAGAGGTATAGAGTAGAAGTAGAGATAGAAAATATATATAGTCATTTAGAAAGTGTAGAAAATAGTATAGTCATTTAGAAAATAGTAATGGTTATTTAGAAAAACAGTATATCAGTGATAACAAGACGTATAAAAGAATTTTCGTCGTGTTTTAAATGGCCGGTTACTGTTACCCCGAATATGTGGCATAATGGTACAAATGCCATAATTCAGTAGAATTATTTCAACCCCATTTTCAACGAAATACGCCTGAATACCAATCAACGAGAGTGTCTATAATTAGCGGTGCTGTGTTCACCGTTATCACGATGACACGCCAGTTTCTCCGCGTTTTTTTATTAGTATTGTTTTCAATCGACGATAATGCGGTATATTTAATCGGTGCTTTCGTCATCATCAACAATTACACAAGGTAGACTTCAAACTGTGTTTACATTCTTCTACTTTTTTTTTCTTTTTCTTTTCTCATCATACTGCAAAGTGTATCGTGAATTAGGCGAATGCGAACTACGTAATAGTGGGAGATAGAATTTTTTTTTTACTGCTTCGCGCGAAGGACTTCTGTTCGACTAACTCGTTAGAAAGATAACGTAATATAATATTTATACTTTATAAATAATATTTTATATTATTTTAATATTATTTTATAATATATTTATATTTATTTTATTAATATATTTAATATTATTTTATAATATTTATATTTATAAATTTATCACGTATTATATAAATTTATATCAGTATAATTAATAATTTTTTAATTAACAATCTTTGAATTTAAAGATAATTTTGGAATTTGGAATAATAATTTGTCTGACTTTTAGAATTGAGATCTTGTCAATACTTGTTATTAAAGTCAGTCATCGTACGTGCTGAATCTTAAATATTGTATTATCGCGTTGAAACGAATTTTTACGTCTGCACGGATTAGCGAACGATGTCAAGAATGGCCTGTACATGTAATAAAAGTCTTTGCCAATTGATTAAGAATTGTAGCGAGTGTCCTCCCGTTCTCGGACAAATTCTCGAAACGAATTAACCTCTTGCGCTGGAGTGACGTGCCACGCACATCGAGAATTCTTTGTCTCAAAATTGTAATATTTTCTCAGTTTTAAGTATATTGAAATGTGACCTAGGCAAAACAAATAATAAACTTATTACTTCTTAGTAATTTATCTATCCAGTTATCTATACCGATGAATTCAAAAAAGAAGACGAATTATTTTATACGGTTTGGTCACTCGTTACGGTCCGCGAACCAGTTACTAGTACAAGAGGTTATATTGGCCAGACATCGGTCGGTAATGTGGCATTTTCTCTATAGATGGCCATTGTATATTTCCGTGTTTGCTGAAGAAGAGAATGTGAATTTGATATGTTCTGCAGAAAAGGATATTGCAATAAATCATAACTTTATTCGTCAAGATAAGTTAAGCATAAGTATAAGTTCTTCCGTGAGCGATACTGAGAAACGAAAATAGATAATTCAGTGAGAAAATCATATATATATGTATATAATATTTACACTTTTATAAATTTATATAAGTATAATTATTATCTGTTATATATTATACATTATACTTGTAGCACAGTATAATATTTATAATATAAATATAAATATATAATATAATTATAAAATATGATATTTTATATTTATACTTGAGATGCGCTCAATCGATGTAGATCTTTAAACAGTAGTTCAAACTTTTGGACAACACGTATATTGCGTGTGTCTTATCTGCCTAAAATTTATCTGGCACAATCTAATCACTAATTATTAAATTTATCGTAATACGATAAACGTAATTGAAATATTTTCTGAATTCACGTTCACAAATGGACAACTGTTTTTAGAATTTTTAGAATTTGATCCTTTCTCGACGTGTGATAATAATTTTAAATTCTAGTTAATCACGTAATACCGACTTATTATTATTATTATTATTATTATTATTATTATTATTATTAAAGATGGAATTCTCCATTTCCTACAATAAATTTGTTCAATATAATAAAACGAATAAAATAATAATGCAATAATAATTATAATTCTTCATTTCTAATCGGTTTCATCCACGATACGATCGACAAGTGAAATAACAGTATAATAATAATCATAACGTAATATACAATATAATATGTAACAAACAATATAATAAAATCAACTCGACGATATAATTATCGAGAATAACTTTATCAAATAAAATTTTCGTTCGACTTCACGTGAAAAACCAAATACGTAGTCTCAATTTTGTAGCCCGTAGATAATCACGTACGACGCCCGAAGTGAACAGGAATTTATGCGAAAACAGTGCGAGAAGAAATCGTAAGTGCGTTCGTCACGCGCTTATCGCGTTCAACTTAATAATTCCTTATCAACTTATTAATTTCAAAAATCTCGCATGCACAAAGAAGCGCGAGCATATCGCCGGAAACGTGTTGTATCTTATCGGTTCCCCTTTGTGGTGTTGGTACAGCGACGGTGTCAGCGTACAGTTCCTAATTTTGTAAGCTCGTTCGTTTGTCAAGCATCATCTCGGTCGAGAGAAAAAACGAAAAAGGGCAGAGGAGCCGAGAAGGGAGACACCTTTCGAATATCACCTTTGTAAGTTCGCTGAAATCCGTTTGGAATTGTCACTAATAATAATTGATAGCGATTAACTCGACGCGAGATGCTTAAACGCAAGAACCACCGACGACTAAAGAGTGAAACTTCCATCAGAGGAGAGAAAACAGAGAGAATCTTTATAATGCAATGGGATACGCGAGCTTTTATCCGTGTATTTTATTTGTGACATAATCATTCAAGTCTGTAAAAATACATTTGTCTAGTATATATCTGTAAAGTATGTTTATATAGATATACATTATCTATACACAAAGTGTGTAACAAAAGTTTATCTATCTATAAAGCATGTAACAAAAAATATTATTCAATCATTGATCATTTTCATCACTTTGGTAATTCTAGTGTATAGTGTAATAAGGGAGGATTATTTTTGGGAACGTACTGACACTGGAACTATGCATGACTGAAGCATAAAATTTCCATCAGAGGTATTAAAGTAGAAAAAAAGCAGAAACTTTATATAGTAGAATACGCAAGCTTTTATTTATATACCTCGTGAAGGATCATTCAAGTCTCTAAAAATATACTGTTTTATATTTATAAAGTATCTAACAAAAATTATTTTGTTAATTATTGGTCATTATTTGATCATTAATTGGTCTTTTATTTATGTACTTTGTTTCTGAAGACAAAATACAAAAATATATTGTTTCATATCTATTTCTGAAAATAAAGTACAAGAATACGTTGTTTTATATCTATTTCTGAAAATAAAATACAAGAATACATTGTTTTATATCTATAAAGTATCTCACATAAATTATTGTTTAAATTATTGGTCTTTTACTTATGTGTTTTATTCTTGATGAGTCATTCGTGTCTTCAAAAATTAATTACCAATTTTGGTAATTCTACCATTTTGTAGAAGGTAGTTCTTTCCCTCTTTTCTTTTCTGTATCCTTTGATTAGGCTTTTGATTTATTAGTATCCCCTCCTCTCATAAATCCCCGACCCTTCAAAAACTTTCACACAAGTCTCCCTTTGTGTATCAAAACTCCATGCTTTGTGTTTTTATTTCAACTCCTTTCTTTTCAGGGAATTAATGAACTAGAACCGATGTTCTACTTGTTCTTCATTAATATCAGTTAATGTCAATTTCTCCCATGCACGCGAATCATTCACTCAACCACTTTTGTTTGCAGCTCTCGGTATAATGAAGCCATCCATGAAAATGGGGGTGGTAGCCTTAATCGGTCTGTTCGTGGTGTTCTACCAGTACCATTTGTCCACCAGCGTGCGATTCGATCAAATGACGGACTTCAACGGGGGCGGCTCCGCGGAAGACGGCCCCGTTCTCTCCCAGGAGGAAGTGGAACGCTACGTGAGGACGTCGAAGCTCACGGAAGAGATGGTAAACCAACGAAAGATTCAGGAGAATTCCTCTTCCGTTTGCCGACAACGAATATAGAAAATATAGAGTGGTCACTGAAAGATTGAATGATATAAAACAGAAATAACTTTTACACGTGTTTTTTAAATTTTTTATTATTTTTTTTCTTGGAAATATATTGTTCGTATATTTTTTCTATAAACTATAGAGAGTTATATGGATAACTTATATAGAAAATATATTAATATATTATTTGTTAATATTTATTATTTATTATTAATTATTTATAAAATATATATTACACATATATTAATAATAACCTAAAAAAATAACTAATGTATATATAATGTATTACTATAACCTAATATATATATAATATATTAAGTTATAGTAGGTTAATAATATAACTTAATATATATAATAACTTAATTAATAATATAACTTAATAACTTAATATATATAATATATATAATATATTAAGTTATAGTAGGTTAATAATATATATAAATATTTATAATATACATTTATATATTATATATTATATTTAATATTATTTAATTATATCTATATATTATATTATATACATATTAATATATATTTATAATATATAAATAACCTACAAAAAAAGAAAATGAACAAGTTATGACTTTTCCAAAACCTTTTCAGTGGCCAACCTATATCCGTGACCTGCCTTTCTTGCCTTGCAGATCAAAAGCGCGGTGCGTAAGGTTCAAGAAACTAACGGGCTCAGTCCGGACGTCGCGTCGACGTTGATACAGCAGCTGGTGAATCACCTGAGGAGGAACGTGTTCGAGCTGCCCGAGAATAATTCGAAGATCACGCGACCCGGACGACTCGAGCCCAGTCGGAACGCCACGTCGAGCCAACGCAGCCAGGAATCGTCATCGTCGTCGTCGTCGCCGGTCAGTTTGTCGGAGAGAACGCCGGAACCGCTGTACATAATCACGCCGACGTATCGCCGGCCGGAACAGATACCGGAGCTCACCAGGATGTCGCACACACTGATGTTGGTGAAGAACGTTCACTGGCTTGTTATCGAGGACGCGGCCGTTGCCACGAAGCAAGTCACGAGGCTGCTGGAGCGAACAGGACTGAATTTCGAACATCTCACTGGTAGTACATCTGAATGAAAATATCAATTTACAAATTTTTTCCCTTTTTTCTTTTGTATCGTGTCTACCAGCAATTTGTTCGAAGCACGAAGCAGTTTATTCAGTTTGTAAATAAAATGACACGGAATGCATTGGAAATGATCATTCGAATGATAATTAACACGAGATTTTGTCGATTGTATGATCTTTCCAACGTGTGATCGTCGTTTGAATTTCAAGCATACGTCAACGTGCATTCGGGGCGTAGGTTAGGTTAGATTAGGTTAGATTAGAACAATATACAAGAGTGACATAGTTTTCATGTTCAAGAGATACATAGTTTTAATCTCTGGATAAATAATATCCTCTGTTAATTTTCGAAGTTTTGTAAGAAGGAATAAGATGTCTGGTTTATGTGAATTCAATTCTGAATTATGCAAATTATTCCAATGAGTGTCAATTGGCTCGGGACTGTCTTCAGAAATTTCTTCTTCTGAAATACTTTTGCTCTTCTTGACGTCGTTATTATAGCCTTCATTCTAGGCGTCTGTTCAAATATTATACTATTATACGACACCAAGTGTATTAGCAAATTATGAAAAGAGGAAGTCCGAGCTGTTTGTACAATGTCCTCCCCCCAAAAAATTAGATCATTAGAAAATTAGATTAGAACTCAGTGTCAAAATTATAAGCAATTAAGGGCCAGTCAAGAATAGTTTGTGATATCTGTTCTTCCCTTATTGCTTCGTTTCAGGGGAAAACTTTGGAAAACTTTTGTTTTTGAGTGTATTTGTCTGCCAAATTTTTCCAAGTACAAGGAGAAAAACAACTGAAAAGAAAAAGAAACACAAGAAGTTTCGATTCGAATAAATGTTCAATTGCTTCTGTTGATATGAACTATCAACATTAAGATGAATTTAAAAATCGCGTTATTGATACAAACTGCCAACAATAAGACTCGTACAATAACTTAACCTCTAAAACTGAATTAAATTACACTAGGAAATGATACTAGTTCTTTTTTTTTTAAATTAACAATTTTATTGTTTGTTTTAATTAATATTAATTAATGATAATTAATACCAATAGCAAGAAATTATTAAAAAATGATGTAGTCTCGAGTCCAGTCTCAAAATATTCTAAAATGTCTAAAATTTGCAAGTATATTTTATTTTCCACAAAGAATTTAATTTGAGTAACAAATTGTAGTTACTTTTCTCGAACGACGAGTATATACTCATTAGATGGAAAATTGCCAATTTCTTCGCGACGAGTATGCTCGTCATACTGCAAAGAGGTTAAAAATCCTGCTATAGAGGTTAAAAATACTCGTGTCGTTCCCAAATTTTGACGCAGCGAAAATCGGTTAATTATCGAACATTGAGAAACAAATTCGCCGTCGAGTACGTAAATAGTTGCAGTGAAAATTAATTTCGTTGATCGATTGGTACCTCGTCGGGGAAAATTAATTCGAACAGCCGTAAAGGTCTCGATGAAAAAGCGTTGTATTGATTTTGTTGGCCGCGCGTTTAAATATGTAGTCGTGATGTCCGACTGTCCGAATCGGGGAATCGTGTCGGCCCTTGCACGATTTGGCCGATTTACGGTCGAGCCGCGGCACGGAATTAACCGTTCGACGATCGGACAATTTTGTAACTAACTTTCCCCTTTCCAGCTCCAATGCCTGAGAAGTACAAGCAGAAGAAGGGTGCCAAACCGCGAGGTGTGTCCAATCGGAATCGTGGCCTACAGTGGATCAGGGCGAACGCGACCGACGGCGTGTTTTACTTTGCCGACGACGACAATACCTACGACATAGCTCTTTTCGACGAGGTATTAAATTCCTCTTACGAATTCGCAGGAGGAACTTTAATACTTATCTTAAAGAAACAACACATTAAAAATATCGTGTTAATAACATTTTAATTGTATTTATATTTTAATTATAAGTTTAAGTAGAGGTTATGTTTTAATTGTAGGGGGGTTGGCTGTTCCATATAAAGCCAACCACGTGATTTTCTTTTAATTCGCCATAAAGAAAAATGTTTCAAACAAAACTTTGAAACGTTGTTTGACATTTCTCTCTGTAGTTTAAGAGAAAATTACCGGGTGGTCAATTTCACATGGAACACCCGGTATGTTGTACTTCAATTGTAAGCTCGCGTCAATAATATTTCAACGCTGGAACTACCAAAATAGTTAAAATGACCAATTTGTCATTTTTGTTGGAAATTTTATAGACAAATAATATATAGTATATTATACTATAATATTATAATATAATATATATATTATAATAGTTATATATTATATAGTTATATACTATTATAATATATTATATATAATATATAGTATAATATACATATATAGTAATATATATAATAATATAATATTTTATTATATAGTAATATATAAATAAAATATTACTATATACAAAATATATAGTAATATATATTACTATATATATGTATAGTATAATATTAGAAACTATATATATATATATATAGTATAATATTAGAAAAACAGTGATATATAGAAAAATAATATATTTTTAAAAATTTAAATGATTTTTTTTTAAATGGAAATTTCACGTTTCAATTCACGGCCGGTAGTTCCAGTGTTAATGATATTTGGATGACGAGCTCGGATGTTACTTTCCAAAAAAAACCAGAAATAAATCGTCACCGGTAGTAATTGATTTATGTAGAAAAAAAGCAAAAAAAAAGCAAAACGGCAGAAACATATTTTACATGGAATCTTGTATTTCAGATTCGCAAGACGAAACGAGTCTCCATGTTCCCGGTGGGTTTGTGCACCAAGTTCGGCCTGAGCTCGCCGATCATCAAGAACGAGAAGTTCGTCGGGTTTTACGACGGCTGGATCGCCGGTCGGAAGTTCCCGGTGGACATGGCGGGTTTCGCGGTGAGCGTCAAGTTCCTGTTGCAGAGGCCGAACGCGTCGATGCCGTTCAAGGCCGGCTACGAGGAGGACGGTTTCCTGAAGAGTCTGGCGCCGTTCGAGCCGAAGGAGATCGAGTTCCTCGCCGACAACTGCACCAGGGTGCTCGCCTGGCACACGCAGACGAAGAAGAACGAGCCGAGCGCGCCACTCGACATGAAACTGTACGGTGAAACGAACCTCGTTAAATTGAAGCAGCAAATAGTATGATGAGTAGCCTCTCTGGCTGCTGCGACCGCGCTTTCAAGTTCAATCTCTGATTTTAATCGTTAACCAAGTACGACGAACAAAGTGATTCAGTGCCTGAAGTATTGTGAAGTAACGATTGGCGTAGCAATGATCTTTTTCTCTTTTTTCGTTTTCCCTCGGAACGACTCGAGAGAGATTCTGTAGTCTGTTTGAAATGGAATCGGTCGCACGAGTTGCGTGCTTTGTTCTTAGAACCACTTGGAGCACTTTAAAGTGGTTCTGGTGTTCACCAGAACCACTTGGAGCACTTTAAAAGTGTAAAAATTGAGTGGAAGAAATTAGAAATTTTATTCGTGTATTATTTACAAAAATCGAACCTGCGCAAGATTACTTTTAAAAAATTATAAGTCGGTCATTTTAATCAAAATCGAGCGACCGGTAAATTTGAAACAGAAGTATATTGTATTCTCTCGAGCTCAAAATTTTTAGAGGAAGAAATTTGTGCAAAGAAGAAGGAAACTAGCAAACCAAGATATGATGACACGTTTCCGTAGCAGCGTGATGTGTTATTTCACGTATCGCTTTAATTTCAGTCGTTAAGATGATTAGTATGCAACGCGTAGGATAAAAATCAGTTCGCGTAGGAGCGAATGGATAGAAATAAGAGGACTGTGAGAGAGGAAGAACTTCATACTCCTCGGTATACATATATACAACTTCTTGCGTTATCTTCCGTTTCGCCTTGCAAGTTGTTTGTTTCCCATTGTTTAGCTGTCCTAAGTTTGATATTTGACCGATTTGATACTTTCTTTCTAGAAACCACAAAGCGAACAACGTCTTGAGTTCTTGATCGAACAGCGTGAATGCAAGTTACCTTTATAGTACTTATTGTTGTACAAATATTGTTTTGTAGTGTACGTGTATGTGTTGCTATTGCATAGCAACGTGATATATTTCTGTCAGACAACGAACGTGCGAGCAAATGTTTCGCGAAACAGCGAACCGCCTTAAGATTATTTTTCTGTTACGTTTTCTTTTTTTTTTTCTTTTTATCCTCGATGCTGTTAGTTTCTGTTTCCTCTTAATTTTAAGAAGATTGCCTACATGTGTACGTTGTAACGAAATTACGGAGTAGCCAATCTCAAACGAGGAGAGAAAAAGAAGCGATCACGCCCCCCGTTTGGTTTTTAATGGATCGCGTGAAACATTGTAAGATTATTGTTCGCGACGAAAGAGGGATTTCGATCGTCGAACGTAAATTCATATCGAATGCATGCGTAGGTAGGAAACAAATGAAATGTAACGAGTCGTTTCGAAAGGTCTGCGACAGAATTTCGCGAGGAGACGCTAGTCTATAATATTCAACGATGAAAGTCGAAACGTAGAGTAAAATACAGAAGCTAGAGTGTTATTTCGAAATTGCGACAGACTTTTCGAAGCTGTGTACATCTTAATACGATTACCAAAGTAAGCAAAGCAAGTGATATAGGGAAAAGAATCTGAATGAGATATTTTCCAGTTCTTGATCATCGAGACCCATTACAGCAGAGAAGTTTCATTTCCACGCATCCTTGTTGCTCAAGAAAAATAATTTAGGATGCTGTGCGTGCTCGGAGCATTATTATATCTAGTCCAACAACGTTATCAAAAGAAAGTGTATTGACCACAGTGTTGCATGTTAAGTTATCCAAATTTTTTATCTAATACCAAATTAATTAGCTTTTCTTAAAATTCGCAGGACAAGTGCAAGTTGTTTTTTTTTTTTTTTTTTAAATAGTTCTTTTGCGTATTCGATATTTACAACTTGCAATAGAGCTACGTTAATTGGCTGAGATTTTGGTTCGTTAACTGGCCATTGTTTCACGTCCGTCAGAGGTAATTGGTAATTTTTTTAGAAATATCCTCTTCGATAATACCGGCTAGACGTTCCAACTTCCGGTCGGTTAACGAAGCGCTGCTGCAATCCTCACGCTACAAACCATAGACACATTTATACATTAGCCAAGGTTTGTCGACACACAAACACACATAATTTCGTGAAAATGTTTCGAAAACGTAAAAAACGCGTAAATTGTCAGGTCGAATCGAGAGCCTGCGATTTCCTGTAATTTGCCAGGAAGTACACCAAGTGAAAGCAATAAAACTCGTTGTTAGATAACGTTTGGCTTTGTGCATGTGTGTGTGTGCGTGTGTGTGTACGCGCGCGTGTATGGTAACGACTTCAACGATGAGTGAAGCTAAAAAACAAAGAGAAAAGTGAACGACACATTTAATCTTTATCATGGCAAAATAAAAAGGAAAAAGAAACGAACGCAGTTCTGAGCAGTTTGGTAATGGTTCCGAGATGTTTCGAATCGCGCGCGTCCGAGCTGCGCACGCGCACTTCGCTCGTGACGTTTCTACATAATACCCCCTCTCGTTCAATCAGTTACGTCGCACGATTGACGTCAGTAGCATCGAAATTGTTTCCTTATTCTTTCTCACTACGTAACTTCTGATGAAACGTCGTTTCCCCTGAATCCAGATTCGATATCTCTCATTCACGCTCCGAGTCCCGTTATCGACGCGTCACGATAGTCGAACCTTTCGTTTGTAGAACACAATTCTACGCAATCTTCGGGGTAAGTTCTTCGAAACGTGTTTCACGCAACGCGAATAACTCGAATATAAGGCCGTGGCAACACGATTTCGTCGTCGTTTCATAACGTCTCTACTGGGCGTCTCCAATCTTGTAGTTCCCGCTTACGTATATTGTTTATTCTCAGGTACGGAGTGACATTGAAGAATATATTGTTCTTTACATTCAACTGGATTAATATAGTCGCGGGTTTTTGTTGATCCAGATTGCTTCGCAAGGAATCGAGATGAGTTACGGCTATCAAGTAAGTATATTTACTTTCTCTTTTTTTTTTTATTTCCTTGCTTTGTGGACCGTCGTGCATTCTAGTCATGAAAAACATACATGCAGATACTCACAGTCAGAAGGTGAATACACGGAAGTATGATCGTATTGTTTTTTTCTTTTATTTGCATCTTGACTATCGAAGGGACCACCAGTGATTCAGTTCCCGGGACACGCGCCACCACCGACATCATTCGGGGCTCCACCTGGCACACCCTCTGCCCCTGGTGCTTATTCTCAAAGTGGCGGCATAGGCTTCACGAGTGGTGCACCTGTGTCTTTTGGAATGCCACAGCCTTACTCTCCTTATCCTTCCACGCCTTATCCGCCACAACCTGGTCATCCCACCATGTCGAATCAGTATCCTCCTCCAGCGCCGGGAGCTTCTTTCCAACAAATGCCTTCCCCCATGCCTCAATCAACTCCTTCCTATCCGTTCCAACAAATGCAACAGCCGTGTAACAATCCGGGACAGCATTCTGCATATTCGCAACAGCGAGATTATAACTTGTATCCAAATATTCATGCCGCGCCTGATGCAAAAGAATGTTTTGATACACCTTCTCCGTATAATAACTCTCCCTCTAACGCTTATTCAAATAAGTCGAGCTCTTATCAAGGCAGAAGCTATCCTGGGGGGCAGGGTGCAGGATACTGTCCTCCACGTGAAACTAATTCTTTCCCCTATCAACCTAAACCAGCCCCAGTCCCCCGGAAAAGTCAGTTTATGACCAAGGTGAGATTAAGGTGTTTAAAAGGCAACGTTGTTCAAAGTGTTCGTCATGGTTTAATTCTCAGTTGTTTCTCAGCTTGGAAGATATTTCACATGACATACTGGTTGGTTTATGTTGCAGTTGTCACCCACGGTTGTGCCGTACAATGATTTTGATGCCAGAGCAGACGCAGAAGTTTTAAGGAAGGCAATGAAGGGTTTTGGTACGGATGAAAAAGCTATTATCCACGTGCTTGCCAACCGCAGTAATCTGCAGCGTCAGGAAATTGCCGTCCAATTTAAAACCCTCTATGGAAAGGTAAAAAAAACGTCAAAATATTGAAATGTAAACATTTACGTATCGTTAAAATTAATTCAAGTTTTGAAATGTGAAACAGGATCTTATAAAAGATTTGAAATCTGAATTGTCGGGCAACCTCGAGAAACTGGTTCTCGCTATGATGATGCCGTTGCCGCAGTTTTATGCCAAAGAATTACATGACGCAATGGCTGGTATTGGTACCGACGAGTGCGTTCTTATAGAAGTATTGTGTACTATGTCCAATCACGAAATTCGCGTGATTAAACAAGCATACGAAGCAAGTAAGTATAATTTCACATAGAACCACGAGTTTTCCTGTTGTAGGATGTCTAATTATTTCCCTCTTTGCCGTTTAGTGTACGGGAGAACATTGGAGGATGACTTGAGAGACGATACTTCCGGGAATTTCAAGCGGTTAATGGTATCGTTATGTTGTGCCAACAGAGATGAGTCATTCGACATAGACGCAGCGGCCGCTGTAGAAGACGCCAAAGAACTTCTCAGAGCTGGTATGTAATTATCGTAAATAACGCATGACACATCAGTACTACTTTTGTTTTGTTTCTCTCAGGTGAACTCCGTTTCGGTACTGACGAATCGATGTTTAACGCAATACTTGTTCAAAGAAACGTTCCACAGTTGAGACAGATATTCCAAGAGTATGAAAATATTACCGGTCACACTATCGAAGATGCGATCGAGAACGAGTTCTCGGGTGATGTTAAAAAAGGTCTTCTAGCTATTGGTAGGTTTGTTATTATTATGGTTTCGTGAAACTACAATGTACATATTGATATTGAATTATTCTTACTGCAGTGAAATGCGTGAAAAACAGAGCCGGTTTCTTTGCCGAGCAATTGTACAAGAGTATGAAGGGTCTCGGCACCGATGATGATCGCTTAATCAGGCTTGTTGTCACCCGTTGCGAAGTGGACATGGGAGAAATCAAACAAGTATTCGGACAACAGTATAATGAATCGCTGGAAGATTTTATATCTGTTAGTATCAATAAGCGAAAAAAAAAGTTTGATTAAAAGAAAATTAACTGATTGAATCTAACAGCTGATTTTTCCTTTTTTTTTTCAGGGTGATTGTTCCGGTCATTATAAGAAATGTCTTCTAGCACTTGTCTCTTAAAGCTCTCTAGCCAGCAAAAAAATACGCCATAATACTTGGTCGCATTTAATGGTGAATTTGAGGTATTAATGTTTACATCTATTTATTTACTTATTCGTCGTTTAATATGTTATAAATGAGCCACATTATCATATTGAAGTATTTTTATAAATGCAATATGTTCCTAAACTTACAAAAATCTGTATACAATATTTACAAAAGACACGGAGCTTCAAATTTCGAATTCAATACTTGAGTCTCGATTATTGTTATTTTAACTATAAAAGTATTTTATAAGTAAAAGCCTGCGATAAGTAAAGCCTAAAAGAAAAAAAGTATTAAAAGTTTATAAAAAAATGATACGAAAGAATTATCTTTAAAATATGTTATTATATATTTTTATTTTATATACTATATAAAATATACATATATACACATATATTTACACAATATATTATATATTTATCTACGTATATTTTGTAGATATTCTTATTAAATAAATCTGAATTTAAAAGATATTGTAAAAATTATACGGGTTGGGAATAAATGTATACATTTTGGAAATGTTAGAATTTATTAAATAAATAACGTGTTTGTAAAATTTTATTCTTCTTTAAATTTACCATGAAATTCTTTGGGGATAAGGCTGGTCATCCCAATGGAAAACTTTGTTAATAAAAATATAAAATTGCAGAAAATTTACTATTAATGTAGTTGCCGATTCTGCAATAATTTGCCATTTCTTTGGTTTCTTAATGAAAAGTCGATAAAGTATATACGGGACGATAAAGTAACGTGGTTCTATCAATAACTGAGGAATAAGTACCACGGAAATCATAAAAGTATAATTAACCTGTGTTGTAAATCTTAAATGTTTAAACCCATGAAACATTGAATATAGAGCGAACGAATATACAGGTACCAAAAGATATTTGAATTGTTTGTACTTTCCCATTAACTTATTCCAAAAATAAAATACATAATGTCGATTGTCGGCCAGCATATATGGGTGTACAAGAGTGTTGAAATGAACTATTACAGTTAAAAGTATCAAGACACAACTTGCAAACATCCAGTGTTTGCTGACGAACTTAAAATAATCTTTCCAATAAATGATCATGTATGGCCATAAAAAGCAAAATAGAAAAGTAGAAAAATATAACAGTTGAGGAATGTGAATAGTAGGAACATGGGCTCTTTTATCTCCAACTACGATTCCCTTGTTCCATATAACAAACGTAACAAACGTTAAACATACTATAACATAGGGGAATAGTTGTGCGAACAACTGAATGATGAATCTCGTAAATAATTCCCACTTGTGACACGTTTTTCTTATTACTTTTTCCCATAATAACTAAAAAAAACATATGGTAGCATAAGTTTATGCTAAACATTTATATTTCTTCTAACAATAATTTACTTACTTTTAAATACATTATCGAAGTGTATTGTTGATATGAAATTGATTTACTTATTTTATGATCTAATAAATCAAACAAATGTTCCACGGTAATAAACGCAACCCAAATAATGTTTGTCTGTCGAATCAACACAGACAAAAGACCTGTACGATATTAATAACAGCCAGTCTTGAAACCTTGAATGGTATCTTGTAATTTACTAACTTTTATACATACCTACGAAAGCCGCCGTTTTAAATTGTTTATACGAGTGTAACAATAACATTAGTAATACTGCATTAACTGATGCAACATCTGTATAATACAAAAAATGCCAGAAAAATAACGGTGGAAATAACATGACATTGCAAGCGACAGTAAATTTCATCCAGTCATTCCATTTTTGCTTCCAGCGTCTTGTCGAGATCTGTTCGATTACACTGTGAGCAAGATACAGATTCAAAAACGTGCCAAGCAAGTTTATGCATCTCATATAAAAGGCGTTACACAGTTTTAAGGGCGATAGTATCAGAGTTGCGATTAAGTACAATCCGGGTAAAGTAGTAATCTTGGGATCCCACTGAAATTAACGTATCCCTCGAATACATATAGTGAAACGAAACTTTTCATTAGTTGATTTTCAACAACTTTACCAATTACCAAAAGAACGCAGTAAAAATTAATTGAAACATACCTGCGTAAAATTACCAGCGCAATATCGCAAAGTCTGAGGCACGTGAAAAACCTCGTCGATGAAGTAATGGGGCTGTACATGATTCAAATAAATAAATAACTGCACGATGCTGAGGCAAACGAATGCTGTCAAAACCTTTTGCACGTATCGATTGTCTTTAAGTAAGATCGAGTTCATCGTTCCATTGATGAACCGAGACGAAGAAAAGCGAATGAAAACGAAATTTTCAGATGACAAAAGAACGAAACAAGTTTGACACTGACAATTCGATCAAATTGATCCACGCACGCGGAAAAGATATTCATTTATTACAACGATCATTTTATTCTAACATATTGTTTGGGAATATTTCTCGAACATTTCAATAACTTTTCATACTTTAATTCAGGTTCGTCTTAACGTCAAAAAACGGCACAATTTAAAACACACTGTATACGCACAACTTTGAAACACGTGTGCAACGTTTTCACTGTGAAGTAAACGCCGAGTCGATATTTTCAAATCAACGAGCTGACGTATCGATCCGGTGGAAGCTACGATTTGAAAAAGAGCGGGAAAGTTTAAAATCTATTTCAACGTGTTCATCTTTATTTGAAAAGTTACTTTCATTTAGGAATGACTGATAGTTTGAATGCATTATACATTACAACCATAACCTTTTGCGTTGTTGAAAATTTCTCGTTAAGATTTATCTGTCAGTTTTTTTTAATTTTCAATTCCAATTCTTAGAATTACTCTACGACTGGAATTTAAAAAAAAAAAAAAAAAAGGAAAAAGAAAAAGAAGAAAACTAATAAGAACTAGACTTCCGCGACGCTTGCTTAGTAGTAAATGAACGTCACAGTAATGTCGAAGTAAATAAGTTTATTTCAACTTAATATTCAGAGTCGGGGTGAAATAATCTGAGCAATCTTGTTTCACGTTTATCTGTAGAAACGTTGGCAGGATACAAATATTGATATTTTACAAATAAGTGGATTGCAAATATACCAGGCAAACTTGTTCTAACACGTTACACGCTTCTTACTTAAATATTGTGCTTACTTCCTATTTTCTTGTTCAACCGAAAAAATGTTTAATATACATAAATAAATATATATATTTATGTATATATAGATGGGAACAAATGTACAACGTTTGCTCGTTTGGTATACTTTTCTTCAGAAGATATGTTGTACAGGAATTAAGAAACAACTTATACAATATACCGATTCTTATTAATTCTTATTAATATTTGTAATTCAATCAACGTTCAATTAAAATAACATATAATATATAATACAGACGAAGTTTCAGGTAGTTGTGCGAATTTCTGAAAAATCATGAGAGTTCAGATAGAATCAAGAGCTTGTCGAATACACAAAAAGGATGACACTTTAATGTGTTTCTATCAAATGTATCAGTACAAATCGATTGAGTCGGATTTTTATTCATTTGTATCAGTTTCTTTCCCTCTGAAGTTAGTTCTTGAATGATCGTTTAGCAAATACATATAATTTTTCCTCGATGAATCATTAGATGGAGGCTTACAAAGGCTACATGATGCGTTAGTACAACACATTAGTCAACGGTTCAGTTTGATTCTACGCTATTTGATGATGTTTCCTGGCCGTTTTCAGGAAATATCGATTCACACCGTACGTATCGAACTTTATGGCATTTTTTTTTTTTTTTTTTGTTTCTTTTTCTTTCACCTGAGAATAATTACAGGACAAATTGTCAATGCACTAAATACATACATAAAGTAAAGTCGAGGGTTTCTGTTGAAGTACAATGCACGTGTTTTGGTTTCTTTTTTCCTCTTTTTTCCCCATGCCACTGTGTAAAACATGATCCTTTTATACATTATGGACATTATACATAAAAAAGACATAGGCAAATTGTATATATCACGTGTGTGTGTGTGTGTGTGTGTTTGTGTGTGTGTATGCACACACGAAATTCATACGTATTGTGTATGTACGCACTGTACAAAGCTGAGCATTTCTCTTTTGTTGGAATTCTAGCATTGTCTAGATTCTTCTTAAGTAGAGAACGTTGTTACACTTGTTAATCTCTTTCTCTTCTTCTTCTTCTTTTTCTTTTTTTTTTTTTTTTACTTCTCTTTTCGTTTTCTTAGTCAGTCTAAAGCAAACGAAGCATAATGCGGATTATACAATGTAGTGCGTGAAACAATTACTTGCCAGAGGGGGGGAAGCGGCGTGAGGGGGGGGGGAGACAAAAGTTTTTTGAGCTTATGTACAAGTACTTATTCTTAATCGAAATTACAGCGTAAATTCTAGACGAACCTATAGATGTTGTTGTTTTTATTTTTCAATGAAAGCGAGATGATAATAATAATAATAATTTACAGGTTTTAAATTATAGCCACAACGAGGCTGCGACGAAGGCAACAAATTCCCTGGGCGTTTTGGATGAAAATTCTTTGATGCATCTCGAATTCGAATAAACGAACAGTCTAAGCAGAAAATATTCTCTGGAATGGATAAAAAAAAAAAAGAAAGAAAAATTTCGATTAATCATGAATGATGAAATAAATACTACGCATCGATGTTGAAGTCAAAATGTTTCGATTATTATACAAGATTTTAATATATATATATATATATATATATATATATATATATATAAATGAATCGGAACCGAGTTATAAAATGTTCGTAATTTTAAAAAAATCACTCTTCAATTTGGCCATTCAAAAAAAAAATAAAAAAAATAAAAAAATAAAATGGAGAAGTGTATTTTCAATCCATTGGCAACAGGAAGTGTTTAATTTTATAATATCACTTAATAAAGCTCACTGGCATAGGATTGGTATTTGTAAATTAATTTGGGCAAATGATCTGTTTCAATGTTTTTGAAATTACTATTTCCTGCTACGAATGGATCAGTGCTTAATATTTCCTGAACCTCCTAAAAAAACCTTTTCGTTTATCACACATCGTAAGAGAATTATAAATTATTGAGAATAATATCAGAGAAACGACGATTATTAAGTAATAATAATTCCTTAGCGGTACGCAAACATTTTGTCACTGCTATCTAAAATTAATACGTGTACATTCGGTTTACTTGCGAATACTTTCCTATAACCAGTGAAAGCGATTTTGTTAAGCTTAATACTTTATGAAGAATAAACGGGAAGAACTTATTCCTTCTTCTTTTCCACACGTAACCATAAGTTTCCAAGATCCGAGCGTACAATTGAAAAATGGCAGAAATTGTATAAAAACATTGTATCCTTTGAACTTACTTGGCTACCTGAGATATTTTGTATCGTTCAGTCATTAAAAATTTTCTAAAACGGAATAAAAAAAAAAAGAGAGAGAGAGAAAAGAAAAGAAACAACAAGAGGGGAAAAAAAAAAGGAAGAACATACACTTGAAAAGTACATACATGCGCTAACACTGAAAGCAATATCTAGAATAATATCAAAAAGGTATATGCTTAGTTTTTACTCAATCTTTTGTCTCTCCTATTGAAACTTAAAACACACGGTAACTAATACTTTTGTCGTACGCGTTCGATTCTAAATATTGCTTTTAATGTTTCCAATTCTTTTTTTTTTCTTTTTCTTCTTCTTCTTCGTTTTGTCTTCTTCGAGAATGAAAGAGTGAAACAGAGAGATAGAGAAAGAATGAGATTGGAAGAGGCATGTTCTTGTTTTATAGTAGAGTAACAAATTTTATAATGTTATCAGCACTTGTGGAATGCCTGCAGTCATTGTGTGATCTCAAATACTAAATACATACGCTAAACAAAACAAAACAAAAAAGACCTATATGCTCAACTACAACCAGCCCTTAAGCAAACGTTAAGGGACACTGGCAAAATTATTTACACATTTAGCATTACCTATCGTCGACAAAAGGAAGTTCTTTGTGACAGTAAGTTCGATGAACTAGAGAAGCGTTAAAATAAATTTTTACATCATACATATCGAGTCCGAAAAGAATTGCCATTGCAGTGCCTATGAGCTAGTCTTAAATCAGATGAAAATTCTCTTCTTTGTGAGAGCAATGTATACCTAACTGCTATATAATAAACTTGAAAGTACTTTTCAAGGTACATAAGACTGGATTATATTGTATATATATAATGTATATTATATATATTATATATATACATATAGCACATATCTTAAGATGAAAAGCAAGTTTATGCAGATAACAAATAAAGAGCACTCCTTAGGAACTAATGAAACTTAAGCGTTATTACCGAGATCTGAATATAATCAACTCGTAAAAATTAAGAGTATCATATGTACAATTACATTAGGAATCTTCCAATAATAAGAACGAAATTTTATTAAACAAAATAGTGTTAAAACGCGTATATAAATACGTGAGAAAACAAGAATACCTTTTATACGTCTTGTATGCTATTCATATTTTGTATCTTTAAACTATTCGTTTTCAAACTAACCGTCTTCTATAAGCGTATTGTCGTCAAAAAACATCACAAGGAAGTCTTATCATCGGAAGATTACCTAATTTCTTTAAATTCAGAAGTATCTTTTTATTCGTTCAGTAGAATTAAATAAGTCGTTTAAATAAGAAACCTTTCTCTTATTTCATCGCGTAACGAAACTTTCTGCAATTGGAAAATGAAATAAATGGATCTTGCTCTGATGTGCGTTTTCATTCAAATTGGGAAAATGTACATTGTAAAATAATCAAGTAAAAAAAAAAAAAAACCAAAAATGATAAATTTGTACAAATGAATAAAATCTTGTATCTTCAAATGTTCACATTTGTCTACGTCGTGAGGTTTACAAATATTGGAATATTACAAGTCCTTCTAAAACAACAAAATCCACTTCTTTCAATTTTCAACAGAGAAAAATTTAGTTGTCCAATGAAATGATTAACTAGCACGAGACGTGTATAGGCGGTAGAATTATACTATAATAAAAAGTACACTAAAAGTACAGAATTAATCCTATTGACCGAAGGCCGATATGTAATACAAACGTCACAAATTTGAAATTGTGCCTGTACACACTATTCTAATATCTGTACACAGCGGTAATACAATATAGTAAGTCGGCTAGATACGAATCACATCAACATAATTTATCATCGTTTTATCGGAATATATCCTTCGTTCCCTTATTTTCAGTAAGCAAATTATATCATCGGGTTGATCGATTTACGCAGTTAATTATATACAATTACGTTTTCTCTCTTTCTCTCTATGTTATAAATAATTAACGAAAATAATTACGTACTAAAAAATAAAAAATAACGGCAATAGAAATTAAATGAAATTAAGGTGGACGTAAACTATGCGGAATTTTTGTAGAATTTATTTTTCTCCTGTTCTTTTTTCTCTTTTTTCTCTTTTTTTCTTTTTTACGTTTTTTAAATAGAAGAGACGTGTAAGAAAGAGTCACTGAATGTTGACTCCACTTCAGAAATAAAATCAGACGTAAATAACAGGCAATGCCACAAAGTGCTCCATATCGTATCCCTAACGAGTTATTGCTTTTTGCACTTTTTTTTTTTTCTCGAAATATTATTCGGAACGTCATTACGCTATATATATATATATATATATATATATATATACGTATATATATATATATACACCTAAACGTTGTGGTAAAAAATCCGCTTAAGATCGAAAATCAATCAAGCCTGTGTACACCGTAGAGTTTCAATCGTTAGGTGCACGGTTAATCCGATACTGAAACGTTTCTGAAAAAATGTACATCGGAGGAAAAACCCGCGGGGGGGGGGGGTGTTCAGGTGTTTGGGGAAATACTGCAACTGTGATCACCTCCGGTTGCTCACTCGTTAAATTTGATTTTTGACGTACAAACGATCTGTTGTATCAGGACCCCGTGAAAATAGTTGTCGCGTGGAACATCACGCTTTAGTAAAGTGTATTGTCGTTAAAAAATATTGTTTTCTCGGGTACATTTGGCAAGCATGCACTTCATCGACGTAGAAGATCGACTCTTCGTGGGACCTCAATTAAATAAGGGCTAAATTGGAAAATTAACGACAACTACGAGAGGACGGTTCGCACTCTCCTCCAACGTGCTTCCCATTGTGACTTATTTCTTCTAGCGCTCCATCCGAATCCAAACCCAGAACCAATGATAACTTTATTAATGTAAGCGAAGTTGTTGCCGCTGCCATTAACGTGGCCAATGTTTGTGTTAAGATTGGCCAGATTAACCGCGTTTAAGATACGAACAGCAGACGAGAGTCGTAATTTACTTGCTGGAGAGCTGAACACCAGTTTCCGGCTCTGTTTGTTGTTGTTGATGATGTCTCCGTTACTGCTAGCGCTATGGCGGTCGCTCAATTGTTTCGCCGAATGGGAATACTCAGTGCAAAATGATTTCGCCATTGATCATTGCCGATACGTTTGAGATGATATGCCATTACCAGGTGTCACATAATCCCCGATCATCAAGCTGGGATTCACTGGATAATGCGAAGTATTGCCAAGGACCAGCGATTGCTGGAAATTAACACCAAGCTGTAGCGCGAAAGACACGCAGGCAGGCGTAAAACTTTAGTATCCTTTTGCTTTGGACTTATAAATCGAGTTTAGCGAGCAAATTGTTTGGTGCAAATGTTTATACAAACTGTGCATGAGTATGGTGCATATATGTTAGTACCACGCGTTGGTAGCTCGCTCGTGATCTAACTGAAATATATACGTACACTTACCGTAGCGGGGGATGTAAACATATTTGGAGTGATTCCACCACCTATTAATTGTGCTGCTTGCGTACTCGTTGCGGTACCTCCTACTCTTCCTCGCCCTGTACTCGAAATCGAACCAGGGTGAATATTTGGTTGACCTCCTAGATGACAATTACACGCAAGTAACAATTATTATAACGTTCTTCAAACAAAATGACATTATTTTCTACCGTCTTCTTACCTATTGCAAGTAAATTACTGGGATTCACCGCCGCAGTCGCGTCCATTGAAACTTCTCCTAAACCATTCACAGACATTCCGTTAACCATGTTTACTGCTTGTCTGGCACCTTGTGCGTCTAAGGTCGTCCAGTAAGACTCGCTGGGAGAAGTATTATTTAAACCGGGCGGAGGTTGTGCAGCTGCTCCTGTGTATCTGAAGTATGGATTTTTCAAATCTAATGTATTACTACTGCTCTCCATATTCGTCCCTTCCAGTTTTAATTCTATTGTTACGTCGTACGATTGTCTGAAATATTTTATGCGATAAAGAACATGCTGTTATAATAACATACAAATTTTAAAGACACAGTTGTCGCACAGTTATATTATTTCACCTTTTGTTCGCAATAAGAATGACTTTCCCGGACAACAACTGACCACTTTTACAAAACAATGGATTCTCCAAAAGACAACGAACTTGATACCAATGAGTTAGGGGTTCTGTGGGAGCTGTACTTAACCAAACCTGTTGCGTTGACCCAATAAATGCAACGTCAAACCAAAATGCAAGGCCATGACAAGTACCGCTTTCCAATATGTGAAAATCGACATCGATTTCTAAAGGATATATAAAATCATATAGTACTTTGATCATCGAGGCTACCTTGGTCACGAAAATCATGCATCATAATGCGGAAATTTTCACCTATTTTGTGTAAATCAGTCTCATTAGCAGTTTGAAAATCTACAATGTGTCTGATAGATTTAGCCATACAAATTCTTATATCAAAGGTATCAACTATTGGCTGCCTAAAGTATTCTTTAATCGCGTTATTTCGCATCGCTGAGAGATCTACACCATGGAAACACGTTTGGTACCAGAAGTTAGCCTTATTAAATTGCTCCATGTAAAGATTCTCGTCGGAGAAAGGTGCAATGTGCAAATCACCTCGGGAAGGGAACATTCTTCCACCTGAGAAACAATTATTTCGTCACTTCTATCATCGTTGCTGAAAACAATACTGGCAGAATGAGAGTAGTGAAACGTTACCTGGGACTAACCACTTTTTCGCATGAAGATACGTTTCAAGCATTCTTTCATTGTACAACATATAACCCATAGGTTCACTCACTATGCAGTCAACTCTTTCTGGCAAATCAATTTCTTCTATTTTACCAGCTATGACAATAATCTTATCCGATAAATTATTCGCGGCGACTAACAGTTCTGCGTGATTCGCCATATTACTCGCTTCTACCGCGTACACTTTCTTTGCACCAGCTTGGACAGCAAAGAATGACAATATTCCGGAACCTGCACCTACATCTAGCACAACTTTGTCCTTAAAGTCAGATAAATTCCCTAAGATTGCTCGCTGGTATGTACTAGTTCTAATGTAATCTTGCATCATGTTTTGTTGCTGAGACAGGTAACCATAAAATTGAAAATATTGCATAGCCGACGACTCCTCGGTCCTCTCATTAAATGCGGAAATACCCTTGCCATTTTTCAACTTCAATATTTGCGAATGAAAGTTTCTAAAATCTAGAAAGACGCAACATTTGTTAATTAGGAAACGTCAGAAATCAAATGAAACTGTGCAGTTCATAACTGTTTATCTGCTTACCTGTTTCATTAGCAAATGTTATGAGTAAACTGTCTGTATCAAGTGTGAATACGTAGCTTCTGGATGAAACTCTGGAGCATTCTGTGCTGGGAGTTACCGGAAATTCCAATAACGTTGTTTTATCTCTACCGACTAAATCACCTATTGAAAAATGAAAAGCGAAGCATGAAAAAAAAGCGAAATGATTTACGACCATGTGCAAGTAACGCTTCGAAAACGGTAAACAAACAGGATTGTACAACAAGAGACCCTTCATGTAATATCGAAAACACAGTACTTCAAATATTCTGACAAAGAATTATGGAAGTTTATTTGTTATCATTCGATGTAAACGAAGATTACATTTACATACACGTACAATGTTGCAAATTGTATCGAATTAAATGGACACCCACAAAAATAGACATTTCGTTTTCTCTCGATCATTTCGCGCAACAAAGTAAGAAAATCTAAACCTCCGTAACAGGTAGTGCCAGTTACCGTGAGATTTTAATTTAGAAAAAAGGGAGAGATCGCGAACGATCGTTCGAGTGTGGTTATGTTGTCCCGCATCGGGACGACGCTAACGTAATTCGTTAGCCGATTATTTAACGACGGACCGGTACCTGCGAGGAACTCAACGCTGAGGCCCTGTGGATCGTAATTGATATTGAGCGTGACCGGCTTGTTAAATTTCGCCGTTGACTGTCCATTGTTTGACAAAGTCGATACTGTCACCGCGCGAAACACCTTCGCCATTTTTAGACACCGCGTGCGTATCGTACGCTGCAGTCCCGCAAATTGGTTCGCCCGTGCTTGCCGTCTATCCTGTGTGCCTTTGCCCGTGAAATTGTCAATGGAAAACGGAACGACGCGCGATCTCGCCCCCCACTTTGTACGAATCGCGCGAACAATATCAACCGGATCGCGATCGAAATGGCAATTTTTCACGTTCCGTAGACCGAACCATCGACTAACCACCCCCGGCGCGTATTACACACGCGCAGTAGGGTTACTAACGCACTGAATATATAGCTAATTGAACTCCCTAGGCACACAACGTCCATTGATGATCGTTCTGCGGGGGCCTCATGGAACGCGTCGCTTTCGCGCTGACGCAGCTCTACGCACGCGTCTAGTTCTATTTACCGTTTATTATTCCTTTTTTTTTTCTAGCTGCCTTGTATCTCATTTATAGAATATAAAGTATGTCAAACGACGAATTTCTATATCAAATTTGTAACCTTTTTTTTGTAATTTGTATTGTACGCGTGTTTTTTAAATACACGCTACGTGCGTTTTCTTTCTTTGAAAGAAATGCGGTAAATTTGTCGGTCGGTGTTGCCAACTTAAGATAAGAGAGCGTGGAAATAAACATTTCGAAAAGCGTTGATTAAGCAGAAAATAGCCGATAATTTCGAGAATGTTCGTATTGAATACCAACGACACCGTGAATTACTTTGTTTTTATTGTATTGTCAAGTTGACAATTAATAAATTGTTGAAATTGTTATTACAACGTGGACCAATCGAATCGTCGCTTTTGAACGTGAATATAAGATCTGAAACGTCATTGGCCGCCGAGCTCGCGCTCCGGAGGTTTTACATATTTTCTAGAACGACGGCCTGTACGAATCACGCGCACACGATTAGTGGTATACGATATTCTGATCGATACGTTCAGAGTTGAACGATAACTCGTAGGCTGACGGCGTGGCTGGTCTTTCTCCCCCATTTTTTGACAGTCGTTTGAGATATTGCACGTTCTCAAAAAATGACTGCTCACGATCAAATGCGAGCTATGCTTGATCAATTGATGGGAACTGGACGGAACGGTACGTATTATTGGAACTCGACGCCCATTACAACTTTTCATTATTTACAATTGCCCGAGATCTCGTAGAAAAACACAAGATGGTGGCTTGCCCTTTTTTTCTCTTCTATTATTTTTCCTTTTTTTTTTTTTTTTTTTTTTTTTTTTTACCATTTGTACGTATGTTTATTTATTGATGAGACACGACTGTTAATAAATGGAACGTAATTCCAGGTGAGAATAACAAATTTCAAGTGAAGTACTCGGATCCAAAGGTCTGCAAGAGCTTTTTGCTGGCATGCTGCCCACACGAAATCCTGTCGTCAACGGTGAGTTTACTCGAGTCATTACTCATTGAATATCGATGACATACCATTGGCACTTTTGCGCTACAGTAGAGCATTTTGTTTACATTACCCCCTTCTGGTACTTATTCGCATTGATATGAAAGCAATCAGACATCAGTACGTATCGGTGTTGCATTTCGTTTTTTTTGTTGTTACATTTAAAATATCTTTTCAGTCTATTCTGGTTACACGATTCAATTGCTTTCATTCCCTTGGTCAGACTCATTTGTTTTCCTCTTCAGTTTATGTTGCAGCATAATAGTAACATGCTATCAATACTCACACATAACATTGCTTTCATATAATTTATTTGATTTACTATAAATTTGATTATATATGTATAAGTGAGAGCTGTAACAATACGTTGTTTTTGAGGAACGTTTGAAGATTAAATTGTGCTATGTGTCTTTTTATCATTTAATTTTTTTTTTTATATTGTAAGGCGAAAGTCATACATAGAAACACTACATCAATATCATTTAGTTTGCATATATACAATTTCACACAAGCTTTTCAATATTATGAAAATGAAAATACACAATATCATTGGCAGAATATATAAATTAAAGTATTATATATATATTTTTTTATATAAAACATTTCATAATGGCATCATTTAGTTAATATTATATTTAATTTAAAGAAACAAAGAAAACAGAAGCTACCTTTTAAATTTATATAATTAAACAAATATTTATATTTTGCTATATTCAAGTACAAAATAGTAATTTTTATGCATTTACTTATATTATAAAAATACAAGTTTCATATATTTCATTTACTAAATGTGTAAGCAATTATGTATTCTATACATGCATATATAGCTAAATGTAATCAGTAACTTATTTATGAATATGAAGAAGATGATGTACCAGATGTTTTATACTGATAATAGTCTCATCATTACATATTAATACAGGGTTGGTTGTATGCATCATTCATTTTATTTTGTTTGAATGATCAGGATGCTAATGTAATGTCTATCTTTATATCTAATATTTACTTATGTTTTGGATCGTGTAACTATAATAAATAATTGTTTGTTCACAGTTAAGTTTAAAGCATAGTTTTTGTTATATTTTTCAATGATGGATGGTTGCCTATCTTCTTTGGATCATTTAAAGAAACGATGCATTTCTTATTTTTATAATATGCATTAAAATATATACAATTTTCTATTCAACATTCACATACACTGACAAGTCTCTTTTTATGTATTTTTATAACAATTTTTGTGTAATTTAAAATAATACGAAACGTTCAAAGAGTTTATAACTAGTTGAATTATACTATTTTTCATCAGTGCCAATTGGTCTGATCGATTTTATATATATCATATCAAATAATTGAACAATGCAAGTCAATTTTGTAGTATACAAACAATAGGATAACATTTGTGTGATATATTCGGAGAATTGATTCCGATCAATTCACACCAGATAGGCGTTGAAGTGCAAGACGGGGCAGCAAATTATGATGTAAATAAGGAGAAGCCTTTCAGTTTCTCAAAAACAAAAGAAGTGAGATGCAGAACTTTTAAACATCTAAACTTGGGATATTTCGTTTCCTTACGTTTTCATCAATTTTATTAATATACACATGTCGTTGATATACATGTCATGCTCTGATGCAATACTTTTAATTGTAAGTAGAAATTTTTATACAGAAAATATATATGTACAAAAAGATTGCAAACATATTAATTAGAAATAAGAATTAGCTTTTATTCGAAGTAACATTAAAAAATTTTCACATTCATCTCATTTCTTTTTTCTTTCTGGAACATAGAAATTAAAACTACGTTTATTCTAATGGCCCCGTATAATCGCGAAACGTATATGCAGGAAGTCGCGAACGTATGACGTCTGCAATTACAGTGAGAACGTGATTTTCCATACGACAAGCATAATACTGATCATATTGGTACTGCTTCGCGCATTTCTTTGTCATCTTGTGCGAATTGGTCTAAAGGGTGTTTGTTAAAAAAAGAAAAAAGATTGAAAATTAAAATGTTTATTTTCCTTCTCTCGAGTCTACATCCGCCCAACTACTTGCAGTAAGGCGACATTATGAATTTTTTTTCCCCGTGTGTTAAATATTCATATCGATTTGGTTGAATAAGACATTAACAAGTAATTGCATCTTTACAATATCATTTGAATGAATAATATATTTCTTACTTAACACATGAATATTAAGAATAACTAATATATTCCAATAGTATATTTCTCTATAAAAGGATAAAGATTTTAATCGTGGTTAAGAATTCTTTCCTAAAATGTAGAAATAAAAGTGCGTGTCTTACAAAAGTGTTTAGTTTATTATTCTTTCAAGTATGTTCTAGAACTAAAACGGAAAAAAGAAGTACATATATTTTATTTTGCGTTTGAAAAGCTTTTTTTTTAACTGTTGACAAAGTACCGTAGCTTGTTGGGGGAAATTAAAAGGAGACTTGCAACCTAGCATATTCGGTGCATAGGGGAGCGTTCTCTTATGGCAGTTAGCAAGCACCCTTGTATCTTGCTCAGGTTTTATCACGGTATAAAGTTAAAAAAAAAAAATAACTATGTAAGATACGAAAAAAAGAGCAATAAATAAAACGAAGTATTCGAAGATTCATTTATATCAAAATATAGAAAAAAAATTTATTACACGAAAGAAATTGTTAAAAAACCAAAAAAAAAAAAAAAAAAAACGAAATACTTCTGGCAAATACTCGCGAGAATGACGAATATACAAGTTCACTAATGTCAATGTACCTACAGTTCTATTTCCAGAGTCTCTGGAAAAAGCAATTCCAATCAGATCCATTGTACAATATTGTTGCGAGTATTGTCCGCTCATATGTTGTGTTGTACTTGTCGCTCTCACATGCGCGTTACTGTAAGTACTGAAAAGCGAAGAGGACGTACGTATTACAATTCTACAATTTGATTATCTCTTTAACATAATTCAAGTACTAGGTATATTAATTTGATTAATGATACATAAAGGCGGGCGGTTACCTCAGCCCCTCTACCGGTCAACGGTGGCGAGGCTGAGTAGTCGAATATTAATTCCGAGACCCTGAAAGGCCAGTATAATGTTGGTGAGTAGCGCCATGCTGATTCTCATGAGAACGATGTCTTATTGTCGCTTCTTACTAATAATGCCGTTTACGGCAGGTAGAAATCAAGTTTACTTTGAAAGTATGTGTGAAAATCGTATTCATCCTCGGAGATGTAGTGGGTACAGGAAATGAAGCAGTGATCTCTGTAAGTAAAAAAAAAAAAAAAAAAAAAAAAAAAAAAAAAAAAAAGAAAAAAAATAAAATAAAATAAAAAAAATAAAACAAAAAAAAAATATAAAAAGGGACAGGTAGGAAAATTGTAGAAAGGCAAAAATGAAAAAGAGAAAAATATCGAAACGACTGAACATCGGAGGAATTGCTGAACTCGTTCTCAAGCGATGCCTTTATCGCCGTTACGAGCGCGAAAACAACATTTAGGAATTATTATTATAATATTATTACTCTCTCTTCCTCGCACACGTACACATACACTCACACACGATACACATATAAACACGATACCCTGATTATTACCGATCATTGCTAATTCTTAATTGCTATTATTGCGAATTTTGACGTTCGTTCGAGTTATTATTGTCACAGGAATATTATTGCCTTGATTAACTTGTAACTGTCGCCACGTGTATTGAAACACTGTATTTGTCTTCCCGGATCACGGGGGAAAGGATCGAGTTAATTAGAGCATATCAATAGCATGTTTAGGGTAATTTTCAACGATTGCAGACGATTCGCTGAGTGTTACGATGAGAGGTTTAATAACGTTGTAAGATATTGCGCAGATCTTTACCAGTTGTTTTCTTTGTTGAATGGTTGTCATCCGGGCAATAGGGACGGAGAGAAGAGAGATTGTTATAAATACGCAGGGACTGGATATCGACCATTGGAACCGAAAATCGTGAACGACTTTTTTACTTTGTTCCGTTGATGTCGATGTATTTTATTGCAGATTTGTTAATAATTAAGGCAGAGATACTATTTATTTCTTTTGGAAGGACTTACGTTGATGTATTTCTTCGATTTCAGTCTTTCTTTTCTTTCTTTTTTGCTCGTTTCTAACAGAGAATTAAAAGCCAAAGATGTTGTTACGCTAACGTTTATATGTCACTGATTTTACTACAAATTTGTTATTGCAGTATTCTCAAGGACACGTTATTTACATTTACATCGTCAGAAAAGAAAAGTTATCGGGTATCGCGAATGTAATATATATTTTTCCGTGGAAGAAAATTGTCAGTGTTTTCATGAAGAACAAATTTATATGCGAACGATATTGTTGTTGGCGCTGACAATCGCGTCGCACACTCTTTTTCTAAGTGCACATTTAAGAGTTCTAAACGTACGTGACCGATTTACATTGTAGGTTTTCTTGCATCAAGAATTTTTCATATACCCGATATTATCAAATTAGATTATTAAGTGAACCATTCGTTTTTAAAAGCTATCTGGCACTCCTTCGTCAAATTTTAATTACTAATAACGATTGAATTTTAAATATTTTCAAGCTGATACATATTAGTTAATTACTGTTAATTGAAAGTAATAGAACAAATAATAAAAAAATATCAAACTTCCTTGTTTCTCAAATGAACTAGAGAATTTTTTATTTTTCTTATAAGTCTGGACTTTCAATTTTGAATTCTGTAGACTTTGGATTTTTAAATTTATGAAACAGAGGAATGCAGCAGAGTTTTTAAAAATGCAATTCTCAAGTGTTAGTTGTAATTCAAACGTCTTCAGTGATATTTATTATAACCTTACGATTGTTTAGCTTTCATACGAAGCTAATTCATACGAATACATTTTTTTTTACTTTTACTACGTAATTACATACACATTTTGATACCATTTTGCGAGACAGACTGATAACAAACTATTTTCCGTGTGGTGTTTTGTGTAATTTATAAATTGCTATTGTAAGTTTAATCATCGAAGCGTCGATTGATCGTTTTTAATTAGCAGTCTTTCCTCGTTCGCCTATCATTTAACAAATATTTATTAGCAAGTAATGCATATATTTTTCCCGAGTAGATTAATTTGGTTAATTGTAACAACAGGTAAGAGCAATAATTAGACTTCTAAGTCTACGTTCGCATCGAGAGTCAAAATCTGCAATAACTCTAACAAGAAATTGACTTAATTGTTTACTAATATTGTTGAATTATAAGTGACCATAACAGTTTGGTTTATACTACCTTCATTAAGTACCAAGAAACAGAATACAAAATGAAGTACACCAGAATTAAATGCAATTCAAACTGTTACTTGGATCATTTTCTTAGTATCCAATGATAATAGTTAAGAATTAAAATTCAAATAGGAAGAACAATTCATTTAATTTGCGCTGTTCCTATGTATAGTAGTGACAGACGAAAGAAAGTTTAAAGATTAAGCACTACAAAAAATTATAATAATTTAATGAATGGAATTTCATGTATACAAAAACAATGAATTGTTTATTACATTTCCCTACATAGAAAAAACTGTTGAGTACAAAACTTACTCGTGTAATACATAAATGTCGATTCTAAACTTCCTTTTATTCGTTGCTCTAATAAAGAAAATAAAGAAAGAACGTAACAAAAGTATGTAAACACACTCTTTAATTCCAAATATTTAAATATTAAACTTTTACTTGTACGAGTCTCGCATTTATCCTCGAGCGAAATTTTCTTCGATTCTCTTAAAAATGATCAATCGAAGTTCCATCTTTTTAATCACAATGTAGAAAAAGGAGAAAGGGGAAAGAAGACAATTGCAAGATTCCGACGTTTGTAGCGTAAACTAAAAGAAATGTTACTAACGTAGTTATGGAAATATATTGATTTTTACAATCGCGTTAATGATCGATACTCAAAAGTTTGTTACGCTTTCCTCGATCTATAAATTTAGCTGCAAGTCGTTTGTACAAAAGAAGGATCAACGAGGAAGCGCAAAGGTTACAAAAAAGGGAAATTTAATATAATGATACGAATATCACGTGGAATACTACATTCTGTATAAGAGGTAAAGATACCTGTGTGTCACTGAAGATACAAACACATTTTTACAAATATTTGCATTTGTCTGTCTGTTAAACTTGCTACGAGAGTTAATTTAATCATGACTGTCCAAAGAGAAGTGAAATTTACAATTCTTCTTTTATTGTATGCGTGTTCTTATGTAGACATATTTTTATTTAAGACAGAATATGACGATGCTTCTAAAAAATATTATTAAGTTTGTTATATCATAAGTTGCACGATAAATTTTACGTGTATTCAAGCAATAGATACGTTCTGCATAGGAATTTTGGTTTCTCAGTGTATTTACGTTTAAGTAACATTTACAATTGATATTTTACGATTATTGCGCTATATTATCTATTTACAGACATTGTTACTTGAAAATGAAATTGTAGAAACCCGAAAGTTAATAAAATACATTATATAAATACCTCGTGTTTTAATAATATTAATCAATCTTTCAATTACTAATTATAGAAGAAATTAATCCTAGATTTTCTAAACCATTTTTGTACAAAAAATATATAAATTCGAATGAAATACTTTCCATACGCTTACAATTTAATTACCCACATATCAAAACTACACATTATTTACTTTTCATTAATCTAATGGATATGCGGTTCCATTAATCAAATAGATTTACACAAACACCTAGCTCACAGCCAATCAACATGTATTACTTCAGTAATTAACTTTTGTAACAAGCATTCTGTTTAGGATACTTTATACAATTTTTAATGAATATTTAGTGATTCTACGTGTAATCTTATTTTGTTGATATTAAAAAGATTTATGAAATAAATTTAACAAGTATAGTTAATTACCATTATAAAAAACCCAGGCATTATCCCCTTCAAATTCTATAGTCCATGTAATTCCATCTGTCGTCCATGCATTTGGAAGTTGATAAATCTGTAACAAACTCATTTGTTGGATTATTAGCTTAAAAAACATAACACAACAATTCCACACCACTAAAACAGTCCCGAAATTTGGAAAAAAAGCAAATGAATAGCCAGAAGGGCTAGACTAATGAAAAGGAAACCGCGATACAATAGCCAAAAGGGCTATTAAAAAACAAGCATTTTCTGCTGAATAATACAGTAACTAGAAGGGCTACTGTACAATTATTTATGTTACGAATCCGAGGAACAAACCAAATCTTGCTTCGCAACACTAATTCACTAGCATTAATAATAAGTGAAACAGGAAATTCAACGCGAAGAGTGCTTCGTCATGTTTAAAACTCCCGAAAATAAGTACGCGACGTTATTAATCTATGCACTCATGTTTAAAAATGCGCAACACTAATTGCGACGCGTCCAATGNAAAAGTAAGAAGAAGAAGAAAGGGAACAATTTAAAAAGAAAAGTGAAAGAATTGACAAGAAAAACATAGATGCGAATTGCCAAGAATAGTAAATTTTTAAATTTAAAAGTTTTTCAACAAATTCAAACCAAATTTTTCGATTAACGTCAGATATATTACGAAACTTCGATTGGCCATTTTATGAAAATTCAACATATATCGTTCAAAATTGAAAAATCGAAACGGGTAATTTTCAAATCCGTTCGATTTGAAAATTTACACGAAGATCGGCTTTAAGGAAAATGTTCAATCGAGTTTTCACTATGTATGAGCGTCCTATTCGTCCGAAATCAAATATGGCGACGTGTGTTGCAATTCTTTTTCCTATTCGTTCGTTTGGAACGCGCGCCATTAGCATTAGCGAATTAAAATGTAAAGTCGAACTGTCATCAAAACTAATTTCAATGCGTGTTGCTTTCAGTTGATACACACACATACTGATTTTAAACCTTGAAATTTATTCGAAAATTACAACAACGATGAGAAAAAGAAACAGTAGAAAACGAAAACAGAAAAAGTACTCAAAAGGGAAGTCGTACATTGACTCTTAATGATTAACCTCGTTCATTTTGGCAATTTGCAAGGCGATAATAAAGTCATCCATGAAAGAGAGAGAGAGAGAGAGAGAGAGAGAGAGAGAGAGAGAGAGAGAGAGAGAGAGAGAGAGAGAAAGAGAAAAGAAAGAAAGAAAAGAGTGAAAAGTGGCATGAAACAGTGAGCGAGCGTTGTTTATTTAGGGGGAAACTGTACAGCACGGAAGTTTTGTTAGAAAAAATTTTCTTCAGCATTGGATGTACGTATTGAACTCCGTTTTCTAAATCGTCTAGAATTGATTCACATATGGCAATTTCGTGTTCTACTCGTAAATAGTATAATAAACCTATTAGGCTGTAAGTTGTTTCATAGACCATTGAACATATGAACTTAAGGTGTGTGCTGATTGTAGCTTCATTGCCATCGCATTGTCGTGTCAGGCGGAGAGGTGTTGCCACTCTGTAAGTGAACATAACAAAATATTTATCTGTAAATTGAATTGTATTTTTACTTTGAAATTTCTTGAAACGAAAGAGAAAAAAAATAATAATGATAATAATAATTTCAGTCGAATGTAAGCATATATATATATATGCGTACGTATATACGAATGAATAAATATGTATCGACATATTTATTTATTCGACGAAACTGTATATACACGTATATATAATTATCTTATAAACGCGTGTGTCTATACCAAAAATAGCGCTACCATTTGTAAGTTTTCGTTCAAAAAAAAAAAAAAAATAAATAAATAAATGAATGAAAAGCATCTTTGGACCGTATTTTTCTAGACAATTAGGGTCCTTAACTTCTGCCATTTATTGCGTTTCAAATTATTATAGTTGATTATCGATTTAACCAATTCAGTTTTCTATTTCACGGAACGACCAGTCGAGATACCTTGTTCTTGCCGTAATACAATCTTTCATAAAAAAACAAGTCGGGAGGGATTATATGTATATACATATATATATATTTATACATATTAAATAAATCCAACGAGGCTTCTCAGGATCGAATATAATAATGAGCTAATATCGAATGATTTATGAATCGCAGCGCATGGACCTGGGAGAATGCCCCCAGATTCACGATTTGGCCCTACGGGCTGACTATGAGGCTGCGCAAAAGAAGAAGGACCACTTTTACGATATCGATGTAAGTTCTGTTGTTTTTTTCTTCTTTTTTCTTCCCCAACAGAAAATTCACTTTAACAATTTTTTTTTTTACAATGGAAACGCTTTTCGATTTTCAAGGCTATGGAACACTTGCAAAATTTCATCGCCGATTGCGATCGTCGCACGGAGCAAGCAAAGCAACGGCTCGCTGAAACGCAAGAGGAGCTCAGCGCCGAGGTGGCGGCGAAGGCAAACAACGTTCACGTGCTTGCGGAAGAAATCGGCAAGAAGTTGGCCAAGGCCGAGCAGCTCGGCGAGGAGGGCTTTGTCGAGGAATCCATGAAGCTCATGGGCGAGATCGACGAGCTGCGAAAGAAAAAGAACGAGGCCGAGCAAGAGTATCGGAACAGTATGCCAGCGTCCAGTTATCAGCAACAAAAGCTACGTGTCTGCGAGGTTTGCAGCGCGTACCTCGGCATTCACGACAACGACCGACGCCTGGCCGATCACTTCGGCGGCAAGTTGCATCTGGGCTTCATCAAGATCCGCGAGAAGCTGGCGGAACTTCAGAAAACTGTGGAGGAGAGACGTAAAGAGAAAAGGGAATCGCTGCTGGACAGGCGCAGGGACAGAGATAGAGACGATCGGGACAGAGATCGCGATGGCCGACGAGGAGGATTGGGTTACAGGGACAAAGATCGCGATCGCGATCGCGAGCGTGATCGTGATCGCGAGCGTGATCGTGATCGTGATCGTGACCGCGACAGAGACCGAGACCGTGACCGAGACCGTGACCGTGACCGCGATCGCGATCGTGACAGGGATCGAGAACGTAGAGATAGGGATAGGAGAAAGTCTCGGTCTCGAAGCCGCAGTCGTGGAAAAAGGTTTGTTGCAATTGATTAAGAATTAACACAGTTAGTTTGACAAATTTCTAGCGCGAGAGTTAAACGATGGAAGTTCTCGTTGAAAGTCTCGCCAACGAAAATTGAAATTGGAATCTAAACTGAAACGAATGAAATATAATTAACATTTAGACTGTAACTGTTAAGAAGACAATTGTTTGATTTGTTTCAGATCGAAACGCTCACGCAGTAGTAGCCGTAGCCGTCGATCCCGTTCTCGCCGTAGTGGATCCAATGATCGGAAAAGATAAAAATAATTCAATCATTTTCGATTATGCTCAATCGTTTCTTTCTTCGTATAAATTCTCACGTGCTTACTTATGCACATTATATGTAAAGGCAAGAAAAAAAGAATGACAAAAAGGAAACAAGATCGCGTCTACCGAACATAATTTTTTCAATAGAACTTTTTCTTCGATAATGCAAAGTAAGATTTGTACATTGTCCGTCGCAATTTACTAGAAACACCAATATTTCGAAAATATCTTTGTGTAAAACTAGATATATTCGCCTGTCAGTGTAAAAAAAAAGCAGGTATGAATTTATTAGATATTAATATACTAACATACTTATTCTATTTGATCTTGATATACCGACTATATTTTTAAGTCTAGTTGCTATTTCGTGTACATAAGGATAGTTCAGATGTAACTTCGCATTTGGAAATGTTACATATTTATAACATAATTACATTTTATGTGATTATTATATAAGTATAAAAAATGAAAATATGTTCAGAAATATATACGTTTAAATAATTATTGGTTCAAGTATTGCAGCTATACATTTTCTCACAACCTTACATTTCACAAATTTAAAAATTCAAATCGTATAAAGAAAGAAAATAGGAGAATTTTCTTCATAAAATATAACAGATAGAAAATAAGGATGTAATATTGGAACTTTGAAAATTAAAAACCTTATGTAATGAATACTGTTTAAGAAGGGATATTTATTTTAAGAGCCATGTACATAATAATTATTGCAGAGCTATTTGTACATACAAAAGTTTTGCTTAAATTTATATTCGAAGGAAGAAGACAAAACTTTATTATATATATATATATATATATAATAAATATATATATATATATATATATATAATAAATATATATATATATATATATATATATATATATATATATATATATATTTATTAATTTATTTACTTATATGAATATATATATATATATATTTGCATTAAGATTATTTACATTTTATTAATTTCGGTAGTCCTTGCATTTTATAAGAAGTTAATGGTTTCTACACATACTCACGACCTTACAATAAACGAACCTCAATCTACATTATCTTGGAAAATCAGTTTAACGTATCCTGGCGTTCCTTCGAGAGGGATTGCGCAAAACGGACAAATTGCAATATAACCGTTTGTACCATGTGGAATTGCAACTTTCTCCCAATATCTGTAACATAATTTTATATATTATAAATATATACCGTTAAATAAATAAAAATCTACAAATACTGCAGCATAATTTAACAGTTATACTAACTTAACAGTTTTCTCTGTAGCCATATGTCCACAAGGCCTAAATGCATAAGTAGGCGGGCCACAATCAACGTAAAATGCAGGTTCGATACCCATAGAGAGTTTAACTACTGAACCAGCTACTAAACACATTGGGCATCTTCTTGTGGCTTTGTCTTTTTCTTGACCCCAATCGTGGTGACCTTGTACATGTCCACATTTTAAATAAACATATGGTTGCTGTTGCGCTGAATCGGCAGCTGCTTTACGTGGTATAACTAGTGTATTTAAACCAACTGGGCATTGTGGTCTTCCCGCATTTATAGCGTCGACCAGTTCTTCCAAATCGTGCTTTGTCTATGTAAAATGTATTTTATATATTCTCGACTTACAGTTTCCATACTAACGTAAAGATTGTTTGTACGTACTGGTGACTTTGCTAGACCTTCGGCCGATCTCCAAAGTAACGTGGCACCACAGAGATCGATTAAAGTTCCATCTTGCAAAATATTGTTCTCATCTTCTACGACGTTCCCTTTTTGTTGGGCACTTCGACTTTCCCTTAGTGAAAAAACACCTCCGCCTACGCTGACTTCTCTCCAGAAACCACACTGCGCTTCACCACCGCAAAACTGCCCCCGTGGATGCATTATTAAAACGCCATTTGTCGTGAGTCCATCGATCTCGCGATTTTCTTGCCATTTTGTTGCTTTTTCCTACAATCGGCAATTGATTTTTTTATGTCTTACAGTCTCGATCATCTCGGAAACTATTTGTACAGAAATGCAAAAAGAATTTACCCCTAAGAAGATATTTCTCGAACTGTCAAAACCTGCGGCGTATATTCTCGCAATCTTAGGGTCTGATCGGTCGGCCAGAATTCGACAGGCAAACCTACTAATTGTACTTTGAGCAACACGTCCCTCGTTAGTATTATCGCCACCACCTGCACATGTGTCCATGACGACAAAATCGATAGGAGATTCAGAAGAACGTCCAACCTGTATTTATAAATACATTAATATAAATACTGCCGGGCCAACGCAACACTTAAAAGAATTAAATAACACGAAACTTACCTGAAACATGTCAGTTTCCTCATCTTCGGTATATTCCACAATAACGGCTTGTGTTCGAGAAAGAGTATACGATATCGAATGTTGCTTTGTATTAAGAATAGCTTGTGAACTATGAGGTGTTTTAACGATGTAATGTTTACTGCGTTTCACGCCATTCGCTACAGGCCGTTTAAGCAAAACGAACTTACTTCTTCTTCTTCCTCTATCTCCGTGCGGGAGGAATCCATTGTAACTAAAAAATATTCAACCAACTTGTTGCTTTGCGCATTGATTTTGTTTTCGCTGGTACTGTTGAAATGTGAAAGAAAAGGGTCAGCTTACCCAAGAATAACTAATTCTCCATATTTTATTAACTGTTTTGGTTTTTCATGGCGATAACTATGGGACCTATGAGGGTTAGCATGTGTATGATTGTGATTATGTTTGCTGCGTGGACTGTGAGGTGCACCAACTGTTTCTTCTTCTTCCACAAGTAATGGACTTTCACTGCTACCGCCGTCAGATCTGAAATAAACACAATTTAATAATTAATAGTAAAACTAACAATTGACATTATTTTTGTCAAAATTATACTACATATTGTAAAATTTATAAATGTTCAAGGATGGAAGGAGTGATTATTATTTCTACCACCTTTGCCTTTTTTCATTTCTCATCATTATGAAATGTGGCCCAATGTTTATGTTCGTTGTACATTGTATCATATTCCTAAGCCTAGTATTCCTAAGCCTAAAATACAGATATTTTATCACAAGTTCAAATATCTTCAATTTATTGGTGTGGAAGTATTTAATTTTGTTTTTATTTAATTACATTCTTTAAATTAGAAAATCATAGTAGCTACGTATAAACATAGATAATTAAATTAATTGCTCCGTATATTTTAATGTTATTGGCGATGTATAGCTTTAAGGTGGATGTCAGTAACATAATTGCTATAACACAGAAAACAGATCTGTTATTTTTAAAATGACAGATGTTATAGATCATTTTAAAAATTACAGTATATATGGTTAAATAAGTACTTATTACATTTTCACATTGATCTCAAAGAAAAGAAACCTTCTTAGGAAGAATTATGTGATTCGACAAAAACAAAAATTTGGAAAGTAATAATAATATAAAGTATTAAGTCACCTATTTGTGGATCTCTGTTTTTTTCTTGTCCTACAGTATGTAATACGTAAACCACTTACTTACCGCGAAAGGCATGGAATACGTTTAGTTACTGGCATCCTCCTTTGAGTAAAATTAACAGATTATTACTTCCACTGTACTTCAAAAGATACTCATAAGGACAGACAGTCGTAAGTATCTTTGCGAAGTTGAGCAAACATGAGCAAGTGCAACATGAGATGCTGTGAATTGGTAATTATAATCTGCAATAAGAAATATTCAGTGTAATAATAATTGCTATACTGTCATATATTTTAGCATTTTCCTAGATTTAATAAAAGTTTCATCCAATCTATTTACTCTTTTTCTCTTTTATTAAAAGAAGATAAATGATCCAATAACAGTGGGTAACTAAGAAAAGATTTTGTTATTTTTATATATCAAAACAAAAGCCAGAATTAACTTGTTATCTTGCTAATTATACGTAATTGTAACACTATACATTGACACTTGTAGAAAAAAAACTGTCTGTTCCTATACATGATACATCAGAAAGTATGGCCAAAATATTTTCTAAAACAGTTTTGTTCATGAAAAGTATATCCTCACAATAAAATTTATTTGCAATGAACATTTATTTAAATTAAAGCACCAGGTATTACAAACATAAGACATAATAAAAAAAAAATACATCGTATTCTCTCTGAAGAAATGAATATGAGACTGTTCAGTTAATATTGTTGATTCCATTTGACTGAATTGGTCAAACAGATTCTTTTATCTTATCTGCATATTCATTTTTATCAAAATATTGCACCCATCAATTTTATCAATATGTGACCAAGGTACATACATTAGACTAAACGTAACTATGTTATAATTAACATAAGTTAACATGCATATATGTTCCAAATTTGAAACAATTATTTAAATGATATATGATTTTCATTTAAATAAGTCAAACATTTAGTTTTTTTTTCGAAGTAACATTCTATCGCATGGTCTCTGTATCATTAAATCTTAAATCTAAATACCACTGATTTATTACACGTTGCTGTATGTACCATTTGATAATGTATTTGTGTTTTTGCATTTATTTCTAGCTCAACTTCATATAAATCACAAACATGGCATTACAACAATTACACAAATGTCAAAGCATCCTCATTTTCTGTCACATCACGCTTGTATATTTTTTTTGTTTCTTTTTTCTTGGAGAAAATAATAAGACGCTTTTTGTAAAACATAAAAACATTTATTGCGCTCAGTTCAAAATTTCATTTTAAGCCAAATTTGTTTCCATCGAACAAACATATACTTGTCGATTCATTTATCGTTTTCACGACATAAATGTCTACGACACGTACACGGGAACACGCAACAAGGAAAATTTCGATTCAATTTCGCATCATCACATTTAGCGCTGTAACCTATGAAAAACAAAAAAAAAAAAAAATTGAGGAACAAATACCAGGGTCTGTCAAAGGAATTCGATACTTGGAGAACATATCATGTACAATATTTTGGATGGCATTCTGCGAATTACATTTGAAGATAATAATAGTGTAGGTAAATATTTACTTGGCCGAACAGATCCAATTAAAAACATTAACAAATGAGCGGATTGGTGGAAGGCTGAAAAAAAAAGAAAAACAAGAGAAAATAAGAAAGAAAACAAAAGGAGGAAGAAACATTGAGCACGAGCGGATCGTGAAATGAGCCGCGATGGGATCGCGACGAGATCGCGATGCACGAACACAACATTAATTAACCTAGGCATCCAGAAACGATGGTCTATTTACCGTATCACCATGCTGAGCTCTGCGTTCAGAAACTGTTATCGCCGCACGGCTTCAGGCACGCAACAACAGTCGGCCGATCGTTCGCGCAAAAACTAACGGAGTATAAAAATCATTTGCCCACTGTTGTTTCTTAATTTAATTTTCCATTTCTTAAATCACACTGCTACTATGTTCATGATATTCGAGTGATGTCGCGTTGATGATCCTCTTATTCATGATTACGGCACGCACCAGGGATTACAGACCATTACCGAGACGAAATCACCCTGATCGAGACAGAAAAAAAAAAGATACTGTATCAACAAATGCCTTGACGATAGATGCCGAGACAAACCGCGATATTTCCTTTTCTTTTTTTCTCTTTTTTTTCTTCCCCCCCCCGATAATCGCTGGACGCACCGATTATTTGCAAGTGCCTCGCATAAACTATACTCATCGGACAATCACGGCCGTGGGATTTGCAAAGCCGTCATAGCCAACTGTCTAGGGAAAAAAATTCCCTTGTTTCGCACGTTCCGACGTCTGTATTATATACAGGGTGTCCCAAACTTCCAGAACTTAATCTACATATAAAATGAAGAAAGAAACGTTGCGTAACAATCGACACCGACACACTTTGTTCATAGATTCACCAACGAATATTGTATGCATGAAACAGCGACAGTATACAGGCAGCGTCGTTCAATGCGTGTTCATTTTAATGTCAATTTCGCGTCATTCATTAAAGATAATTTTTAATTTAATTAAGTTTGATATCGGTGAATAATGGAATTAATGATATTACAAAGTTCTTGGGAATTTTGGCCGAGTTTCAATAAAATTACGCTTTTTTAGTTCTTTTGTCTCTGTGAGAAAAATGCGCAGCTATTTCATAGATACAATATTTGTATATATCTTTGCTAACAAGGCGTTTTGTATAGTACTTTGTATTTTTTTCTTTCCTTTTTTTACATCCATCCACGGTTTAAATTTATTATACATCCTGTATATAATACAATTAATGTAACGCCAATTTTAAACGAATCAAGGATCAATGTATTATACAAAGTGCGTCTGTAGACGTTTGAATCTCATTTCAAAGTAACTAGAAGATATTTTTCGATATTGTACAAAATTCAGCGCTGAAAGATTTAGTACTTAACGATAAAATTTAAGATTTGAAACTAATACAAATTTTTGAAGTATTGAATCGTGTCTGAAGTGATTTGAGTCATACGTATATTCGATGCGATTTAAAGCGCATTTCAGAGTGTATCGCAAGCATCAAACAGTACGTACGCACGTTTAATCTAAAAGTTAAAAGAATGACACATTCAAATCGTTATCGCCTTTGAAACACGTAAGAAAATAATCCTGAAAAAAAGAAATGTATTTTCCTTAGGTGTATCATTCTTCCAACAAACAGGTGATTTAATTTCTTGTTACTTACTGAATTTTCTTATCTTCTGACGATCTTCGAAGGTGAAATTATCCCGAGATGAGAAGATCCACGTTTCTTTATAAACAATTTTCTATACTTACTGCTTGGATAGAGGTAAACAATTTTACAAGAAAACTATAATTGATTAATACGTTAAGTTGAAATATGTACAAATAAATTTGTTCAGAACTGATGATATTAATTGAAAATATTTATAAATAGAGTAATTTCAAGATTACAACATGATTAATGCTGAAAAAAAATTAGTGAAAGTAATAATTTTCTTCTTAAGTGTGTAAGTACTTATTGCGATCTATACAATTATACTCAAAACTGCCGGGGTTCGTATACATATATCGGGGTTCGTTCAAATATTATTTGAAGGGATCATGATCCTAGTGTCAAATAGCATTTGTACATTCTCCATGTCTATCATTTAGGTAAATATTTAGAAAAAAGTTGGAATACTTCATCTCTATGTTATCTGGTATTATGAAACAATAGATCTCTATGGAAAAACCAAATTTCTTTGAACTGGTCCAACTCAATATACAGGATGTTCCAAATTTAAATGTCAAGGCTTCAGGAACGTGCAAGCTTTTCTGAAACGAACTTTTTTTTTTTCCTTCGCGATTTTCTCTAAAATGAGGCAAAACCGAGCAACTTACTAAAGAACCTTTTTACAGAGTTTATCGATTCTCTACGCATTCCCGAAATTTTTACATTTAAATTCGGAACATCCTATCTAATAAAAGGAAATGGAAGATCTGAATAATCATCTACTTTTTTTTTTTTGTTCTTAGAATTAATACAATACATCTATTTGGCACTTTATACGAGATATAATTTTTATACAATAATTTTTGTGACATTATGGAATAGAAAGTTTCTTTCTCTTTTTTTTTATAGATTATTATTCATACCTTTGTTATGACATTTTCGATATTTTTTATGCACTTTTGAATGAAATATCTACTTCGAAAGATCGTAAACGTTGTAAATGAATAAATTTTGCACTCTTTATTTTGTAGATCTTAGAATTCGCGAAATTCTGAACTCTTTTCAAAAATGTAGTTACACGAAGATATCATGTTCGAAACACTTGAATTCACTTGTTTTGAAGGAGTCATGCATATGCTGAAACGCAAATCAAATAACGCTTAGTCAGTGAGTATTATACGGATTTAAAGGAATCCACATTCTTACTTTCCATTTGTAAGGAGTACGTTATTGTATATATACTTAACCATTACTTACAACGACCATGACAGTACATCACAATCATGCATTTTCAGATATACCGAGGGATTTGCAAAATAGTCTTATTGTTTGTAGAATATAGCCCTGTCACTCGGAGGAAATTTGTAAAACGACAAACTTCCAAAGTTAATGGGCCAGTAAGTTGACAGTCCACAATTCAATTGACTTCGATAAACATTTTAGTTTTATGATGATCCATCCATTGTGATTATCGTTATCATCTTGTATATCTTGTCAACAAATATGCTGCCTTGTTTGTAATCGCAAGTTGAAGAATTACATTTATATTCTGAATTATATGCACAGTCCTGTTGCGAGAGTCTCATAATTTTTATATATATATATATTTATTTATTTATTTAATTATTCAGCGTGACGGTGATTATATTATCCAAACAATGACTTTCTATTAACACACACACACACATATATATATATATATACTGTGCAAATTCTCAGTTAGGTAGATTTACGTTTGACATGGATTACATTCGATTTCTTGTATCATCAACAAAATTGCAACACAATCGTTCGTAATATTACGAACGTATTATAACCATTAAACATCTTTTCAAGCGCAAATTTCATGCTGTTATTTTCTCTCGGTTTAGTAGCACCAATATACTCATGCAGTTGTAAAAAAAAAAAAAATAAATACTCAATTTTTCCAGAATTACCTCGGCTATGAGAAGAGTGATGATGAGAATAAGCACGACAGCTCGCCTGAACAGTTTCGATGAATCCCGTTGATACGGCCATAGTCCGATGATGGACAAAAGACGCTTATTCAAACGGAAGGCAGGTTGTTCGAAGAAATCCATGTCGACTGTTGTTGCGTTTCTGTCGGTGCATCAACTCATACTGACAAAGAGACGAAGACAAGTCAATAAAAATTGCATGCGCCGAAATCGACGTGACTGCGGTTGTTAAATCATTAGCAAATTAGTTAAGTATTCGAACAGTCGTAATAGTCCAGCGTTCTACATTCACTAAACCTGAGAGACGAGACGAGGTCTTTACGTTTCCATTTCTCTTTTAGAACGTCTTTGTTGAAATTATAATGCCTATAATGGTACACACATTTGCGAAATGATAAAATAGATTCAGTCAATTAAAGGAGATTATTACTTCATCGCCTTTTCTTCTTTTTTGTCGTCTTACACAGAACGTTCTACTTAATAAGCGAAACTATTGAATTATTAAGCGAGCCGTTTAAAGCGGCTATAGAAGAATAATTCCTTACATTAGAACGATTTTTCATTTCACAGTGAGATATATACTTTCGTGCGTGCGATTTCTTCACTGTTTCGATGGAAAGCAGATAAAGTTAACAGTGACTACTTAGAGAGCATCTTATAGAAGTCTTATAGAAGTAGTAAACTATTTTCTATAAGACGCTTTTTTTTAGTTTTGGAGCATTTAACATTTAATCTTTTTCACATATTCTTTCTTTTCTATTATAATATAAATATATTGTATAACTACTAAATGTTCTTCTTGAAATATAATACTTTCTGAACGCGAGTGATCGCGAAACAAATCTGATCTAATCGTAATCAGTATTGTTTGGTGAATTAGTCATATTATTAATGAAAGTTTAAATTTTTCTAGCAGATATTTGGCATGGAATACAATTTCTTGGTTTCTTCAAGCATCAATTTCTTATGGATATGTTTTATTTATTTATTTACTTATTTTATTTTATATTTATACCTTACACATTTTCTTCCAGATTAGAGGAATATTCAATACGTGGAGTGTTAACTATAATCTGGTCATCGAATGCTTACCAACGATCATAATAATCAATATTTCCATACTGATGTATTTCAGCATAATTTTTAATACAGAAAAGGTATTTTCTTTTTTTTTATCTTACATGGCCCATAAATTTTAAGAGCTGAACATTAATTCATTTAACTTTGGTTTCAATTTTAGTTGATAAAAATAAAATTTGATATCCTAAAATAATCAGCTCCTTTTAAAAAGAGTCAATATTGCTTTGGGTTAAATAAATCCAAAGATTTTGAGTTGAATAAAACAAAAGGAAGTCAACGGAAACATTGTCAATACATTTTCAGTCTTTCAATTTAAAGTAGATGCCTCTCTTTTGAAGTGATCATTTTTTATTAAGCATTTTCGAGCGTACACGTACATTTATCTCACATTCATCATTATACTAATTGCATTAAAGATCTTGTGTATTTGTATCTTCATCTTTCAAACGCGACTACCCAAGAATAAGATTTTTCATGATATCCACGAAATTGGCTTTTGACAGCTCATCGATATGATTTAGAAGAATATCTAAAATGATTCTCTCAAGACAAAAGTAGCTCGTTCTTCGTTTCAACTAAAATTTACATACAACGACATAGAAGCATGACAAAGTTTTCGGAAATACACTTGCAAGGCAATTTCTTTATTCTAAGCTAAATTTTCCTTTTCTTATTTCTGTTAAACGACCTCTCTTCTTGCTTGTTTCAGATTAAGGATGTACTCTCGTTTATTAAAAATGACCATAACTACTACATGAACCGTCCAGAAAATACAATTCTCCAATATTACGCTGCGCAGGGAAGTAAAATTGGATTTTATTACGTTTGTAAGTGTACCAGATTTGAAAATGAAAGTAAATACTTGTCTTTCAATCTTCAAGGGTGTTTCTATTTTAGGTTACATGTATATATTATTCTTCGCGTACGTACTATTACCAACGGTATCATTGGTAATTGGTGAAATTGTATCATCGAATCATTCTGAAAGTAAAAGCTTCCCAGTCGTTCTCGATTACGGCGTGGACATGGAACAATACTTTTATCACCTGTTCATACCTGTATACACATCAATGCTCATGGTTCCCAATGTGGTTATTTCTTATGATAACACATACATGTTGTATGTTCAACATATCTGTGCTTTGTTTGCAATTGTGAGGTACAGTTCCTCTCTACTAAACGAAAAATTCATTTGATCTCAAAAGGATTTTATTCCAGTTACAAACTAAAAACTGTGCACATTTTGGATGCGAATAGTCTGATAGACTTAAAGAATGACCATCTGTTCGAAAAGTCCAGCAATATCGAGTCATTAACGATAAAAGAAAAAGAAATCTTTAGGGAATTAGTGCTTTGCATAAAAGAACATCAAAATGCAATAAAGTTGGTGGTCATGTTGTTAGTGTACAGCGACATTGTTTATTTTCTTCGCATGAGCAATTAATCAGTTTTATTGTTCGCAGGTACTCAGATCTCGTTGAATCATTGTTCGCTAAATCGATATTGGCCCAATTGTTCGGTAACGTTATCTGTCTCAGTATTGCTGGAGTTGAAGTAAGTATTGTATTTTATATTACACTTTGTTATTTATTACTGTTTATATTATTCTACTTATTTATTGTTATTATATTATACTCTATTATTTTTAGACTGTCCTGAATTTAGATAATACTGGCGACGTGATGCGATTTGGACCAGTTGCAGTGGCACAAGTTATACACATATTCGTTCTTTGCCTTCCTGGACAAAGACTACTGAATCACTGTGAAGAGATGCACGCCGCGGCGTAAGAGAATGTTTATTATTGATATTCTCCAAATTTTACACTCTAAGCAATAACTGACGACCAATCCGTTTAGATGCGAGACGATGTGGTACATCTTGCCCAAAAACTGCCTTAATTTATATAAGTTCGTACTCGCAAGAAGTTTGATATTCAACAAAATAACAGCCTTCAAATTAGCCGTCATGTCGATGGAAACTTTTCTCGTGGTAAAATTTTTTTCTTCCAACTTGTTTCAAATTATTGAATTTCATCTTATTAAACAAATGATTCAAAATCGCTTTTATATGCAGTCTTTCGTAATGCTTTTATGAACATGTATAAGTAACGTAAATTAAACTTTTTACAATACATTTCATATTATTAAAAAAAAGAAAAAAAAATAGAAATGTGGTAACATTTAGCGGGTTAAAATGATAGCACATTTCGTGGAAAATGATGAATAGAAATACTGCGTCTCGATAATGACATTCAACATTGTACATATACCTTTACGCCTAAGAAAATACTCTATGATATATATATACAGAAAATACGGAGCGTGCTGTTATTTGCCTCGGAATTGTAATTTGCGAGTAGATGCGCGCGCGCTGTTACGTAATGAGGACCACTTATAAGGAAATTCAATAAATCAAATTAAATAATTGATAGTTTTAAAAACGGAAAATTCTGTGTTTCTCACACAACAGATAAACCGAGAAGAACGGAATTTTTCGTGATAGTTAAGCGTTGAACAATCTCAAGTTCATGCGTAATTTTATACTGTTTATATTTTCAGATCATTCAAACAGCAATGAGTTATTTCACTGTGTTATTATCACTTACATGAACTAAAAACTGAACTGTATTTCAGTTCTTGTAGTTTTATTTTATGTTGTATACTATCGCACTGTGTAATGGAAGATTGACTTTCATCATTGATACTGTAGTTCACAAAGAAAAAGAAATACACTTAAAGGTGGATAAATGTGTTTATATCAATGTAATAAATACGATATGATACAATAAAATTTATATCAATGTAAATTTAACATTTACACATAACTTGAAGTTAGCTCACTGAGGCTAAACTCTCCAGAGATGATGTGGACTTCTCCCCTGCTCTCATTATGAGAGATTCCAGTCGATCCTTGACTTCCTGATCCTCCAACGTCTTCCGACGTTTCTTATACGCTCATTCTAAAAATTTGTACAAAGAAAAAAAGTAAGTACCTTCAGCAGGTTATTAATTTTTCATTTTCAAACCTGTGGCAGAGCACAACAAAAACGAGTATTTACTATATCCATCTTCCTATGTGAACTTTTCCTCATCCTTTTTTAAGGTAATTAACATATACCATATTTAGTTTGTAAGTCTGTAACAAAGTGTTTCCCAACAAACTTTGTATAATACTTTGTATTTTGTTTCCTTTTTCATGTGTAGATCATTTTATGTCTCCGCCGTTTGGAATCGCGTATTTTAAACTTGGGACACCCTGTATATAATACAATTAACATAACGTCAATTTTGAACGAATCAGTGATAGTTCATACCTCATTGTATTATGCAAAGTGCGTCTGTCGTGAATGACAAACGTTTGAATCCCATCTCAGAGTAACTAGGAGATATTTTTCAATATTGTACAAATTCAGTATTGAAAGATTTAGCAGTTACCGAAAGAATTTAAGATTTGAAACTAATAAAAATTTTTGAAATGCTGAAGCGTATCTGAAGTGATTCGAGTCATACATGCGTATGTACATTCGATGCGATTCAACGCGCACTTCAGAGCGCATCCCAGGCATTAAGCAGTATACGTTGCATACGTTTAATCTAAAAGCTAAAAGAATGACACGTATAAAAGGTTGTCGCTTTTAAAACACTTAAGAAAATAATTAATTTACCTGAAAAAATTATTTTCCATAGGTGTATCATTCTTCCAAACAGGTGATTTAATTTTATTTTACTTACTGACATTTCTTCTGACGATCTTCGGAAATTATCCCGAGATAAGAAGATCCACGTTCTTCATCAACAATTTCCTACACTTACTGCTCGGAGAGAGGTAAACAAGTTTACAAAAAACACTAAGTTAAGTTGTTATATATATATATATAATAAGAAATTTATATATATAAAGTATATAAATAATTTCACACCACTATCAATTGCTTGAATTCTGGGCAATAAATTAATTACGAGTTAATGACCATTTTGTACCCGGAGTTGGAATTGTATAACAAAGAAAATTTACTTGATAATGAAATTCGATAAATTACATTTCATCGTCTTCGTACGTTTGTTAATGAAAAAATGATTTCATAACTAACACTTAAAAATCATTTTTTATCAATTACTTTTAGTATCGAGTATTCAAATAGTTTCTTTTTGAAAAATCGGTTTTCCAATTATTAAGTATACATTTTTTAGCATTTGTAAACAAAATAATCGTCCATACGCACAACGGAATTTCAACACCCCTAATTTTTCTCGATGTACAAATATATTTATTATTTTATTTATATTTACTCGTAATATTTAAATTTTATCGTTGACAGTCCTGTATGATTCCCTTACTTCATATAAAAAATTATAAAAATGCATTCACACTGTATTTACACTGAATTCGTAAATGGTTTCTCGTTGTTTGTAGAATAGTTTTATCACTTAGGGGAAATTTGTACAAACAGGAAACATTTGGCACGGAATACATTGGATTTCTTGTATCATCAACAAAATTGCAACACAATCGCTCGTAATATTACGAAAGTGCGTACTACAAAACAGCTTTTCAAATGCAAATATCGTACTATTACTTTTTTTTTTTTAATTTTCATCCTGTCGAACGAAATCTCATCGTAAACTTTCGTTCGTTTTAGTAGCATCAGTCTACTTATGCACAGTAAAGTTGTCAAAAAGTACTTAATTTTTTCAGAATTACCTCGCCAATCAGAATAAAGAGGATGAGGAGAGATGCGACAGCTTGACTCAACAGTTTCGGTAAAGTCCTTTGAAATGGCCATGATCCAATAGAAGACAAAAGGCGCTTAGTCAATCGGAAGGTAGGTTGGTCGAAGAAATCCATGCCGATTGTCGCTGCGTTGCTGTCGGTGCACCGACTCATAATCACAAAGAGACATGGATAGGTCAATTAAAATTGCATGCGCTGAAATCGACGTGACTTCGCTTGTTAAATCATTAGCAAATTAGTTAAGTATGCGAACAGTCGTAATAGTCTAGCGTTCTACGTTCACTAAACCTGAGAGACGAGACGAGGTCTTTACATCTTCTCTTTTTTTTTTTTTTAAACGTCTTTGTTGAAATTATAATGCCTATAATGGTACACACATTTGCGAAACTATGAAATAGGTTCAGTCAATTAAAGGAAGTTATTACTTCATCGCCTTTGCTTCTTTTTAGTCGCCCTACACAAGACGTTCTGCTTAATACGAGAAACTATTGAATTATTAAGCGAACCGTTTAACGCGGCCATAAAAGAGTAATTTCTCACATTAGAACAATTTTCATTTCGGATGAGATATACCCCTTCGTGCGATCGATTCCCTCGCTGTTTCCAGTGGAAAGCAGATAAATTTAACAATGACTACTTACAGAGCGTCGTGTAGAAGTCTTATAGAAGTAGTAAACTACTTTCTATAAGACACTTTGTTTTAGTTTTGGAGCATTTGACACTTTTTTCACATATTCGTGTTTTTTTCTATTATAATATAAATATATTGTATAACTACTAAATGTTCCTCTTGAAATATAATATTATTCCTGAACGAGTGATCTCGACACAAATCTGATATAGTCGTAATTAGTGTTTTGTGAATTAGACATACATTAATGAAAGAAAATTTTTAGCAGATTTGGCATGGAATAGAATTTCATAGTTTCCTCAAGCATCAGTCTCTTATGGTTATGTTTTATTTATTTATTTGTCCTATTTTGTCTTATATTTATATTTCATGTATTTTCTTCCAGAGTAGAGGAATGTTCAGTACATGGAAAGTTAGCCATATTTCGGGCATGGAATGCATAGCACCGCTCGTAACTATCCACCTCTCCATAGTCACGTATTCCAATTTATTCTTTAATGCAGAAAAGGTATTTTCTTCATCTTACGTAGTCTATAAATATTAAGAGTTGAGTTTTATTGAATGTAACTGTGATTTTAATTGATTTTAATTGATAGAAATAAAATTTGAAGAATTTCGCAGAATGGATAGTCGAATTGAACCCTTTGAAGAGGGGCATTAGTATTGCATTGAACTAAATAAATCCAAAAATTTTGAGTTAAATAAGACAAAATTGAGCAAATCGGAAACATTGTCAGATCAACACATTTTCAGTTTTTGGATTAAAGATAGATGCACCTCTTTTGAAGGAACAATTTTTTATGAAGTCTCTTTGACCTTAACATATACGTATATTTATCTCGTAGGAATATGTCATGTCCATACTGACTTCATATATTTGTATTTATACATTTCAAATGTGTTATTATCCAAGCCCACCCACGAAATGGGCTTTTAACAACTTATTGATATCATTTAGAAAAATATCTGAAATAATTTTCTCAAGCCGAAAGTACTCATCTAGTGCAGTTACTTTCAAATGAACTTTCCTTTCCTTACTTCTATTGAACAGTCTATTTTTTTTCTTCTTTCAGATTAAGAATGTACTCTTATATATTAAAAATGACCATGAGTATTACAAGAGCCGTCCAGAAAATAAGATTCTCCAATATTACGCTATACAGGGAAGTAAAATTGGATTTTATCACGTTTGTAAGTGTGCCAGATTTAAAAATGAAGAGAAATACCTGTCATCAATTTTTGAGAGCGTTTGTATTTTAGCTTACATTTATTCAACATTATTTGCGTACCTATTATTACCAACGGTACAATTGGTAATTGTATCTTCGAATCATTCTGAGTTTAAAAGCTTGCCAGTCGTTGTCGATTTTGGCATGGACTTGCAACAATATTATTATCATTTGTTCATACCTGTTTACATATCAATAATCATGGTTGTCCATGTGATTGCGTCGTGCGATAATACATACATGGTGTATGTTCAGCATACCTATGCTCTGTTTGCGATTGTGAAGTACGGTTTGTCTCTATTAAATAAAAAATTTACTTGATCTCAAATAAATTTTTTATTTAATAGATACTATTTAATTTCAAAAGGATATTTTTCCAGTTACAAACTAAAAACTATACACATTTTGGATACGAACAGTTTTACAGATTTAATGAATGAGCGTTTGATCGAAAAGTACAACAATATTGAATTATCATCGGTGGACAAACAGAAAATTTTTAAGAAACTAGTGCTTTGCGTAAAAGAACATCAAAATGCGATAGAGTTGGTGATCTTGTTGTGAATGTAAAATCATATTGTTTACTTCTTTCGCATTAAATTAATGAACTTTATTTTCCGTAGATACGCAAATCTCGTTGAATCATTATTCTCTAAATCCATATTGGTTCAATTGTTTTGTAACTTTATCATTCTTACTGTTAGTGGAGTTGATGTAAGTACTGTATTTGATATTGTACTTACATTATTTATTATTAGTATATGTTGAACTTTTATAATTATTGTATTTTATTATTTTTAGACTGTCACGAATTTAGGTGTCAATACAAGCAATATGACGCGATCTGGAGCCCTTTCATTTGCACAGGTTATACGCATATTTATTCTTTGCCTTCCTGGACAAAGACTACTGAATCACAGTGAAGAGTTGCATGCCGCGGTGTAAGAGAATGTTTATTATTAATATTCTCCAAGTTTTGTGCTCGAAGCAATAACTGATAACTAATCCATTTAGATGCGAGACAAGGTGGTACAACTTTCCAGAAAACTGTCTTAACTTATATAAGTTCGTACTCGCAAGAAGTATGATATTCAGCAAAATAACAGCTTTCAACATGGCCGTGATGTCGATGGCAACGTTTCAAGCGGTAGAAATTTTTTATTCTAACTTTAGCACATATACCTCCGGTTAAACAGATAGCATACTCTAAAAATTATTAATTTCTTTTCTCTGCATCACATTTTTGCAAATTTATGTGTTTATTACGTTAATTTATATTTAACCGATTGTGTTTCACACGAATGTTACGCTTTCGGTAGCTTTTATATGATTAAGGAGTGTAAATATTCGATTTGTGCTCTGCCTCGCAAGAGTACAAAATTCTTTATATTTCTTTGAGAAATTGCGCCCCGGTAGTGACATTAAATACATAGCACACATAATGCTAGCCTGAGAAAATACGTGTGTAATAATCTACGCATTCTCTCTGCTGTACGATTGACAATATAAGAAAATGTGAGAAAATAAATGTGTGCTATCTTTTTGTAAGTTAATAGTAACTAAAATAATCCATGGTTCGCGTTAATTGATAGACTTAAAAATGGAAAATTCTCTTGTTTCTTGCAAATGAAACATAAACAGAAAACGGCATTTTTCGTGATCTAATTGAGCGTTATAATCATAAGATCATGCATAATATTATATTGTTTATATTTTCAGATTATTAAAACCGCAATGAGTTACTTCACTGTATTATTGTCAATGAAGTGAAAACTGAACGCATCTTAGTTATTGTATTTTCCGTTACTTTACATATTGTATAGTGTAATGAAGTAATAACTTTAATTGTTTATGCTGTAGTACTCAGGTAGGAAGAAATATACTTGAAGATGGATAAATATATTCATATCAATGCTTAATGTTTAACATTTACACATAGTATTATGTCACATGTTATACAATATGTCGTCACTCAAATAACCTTGCTATTGGTCTCAAAATATATATTGCAATATAAAATCTTTCTCTTCCAATCGTAATTTGCAACTTATGGTACAAAAAATCAGTGTAACAATGATCTGTTGATAACTTAAAGTACATTTTACACAATAGAATTATTACCATAGGAAATGATATTCATGCTCGTAGAGTAACAAACAGAAGGAAAACATCCAAAATATGAGGATCCAAGTCTGGTGTAAAGAGTGAAGTTTCTAATGTCGTCGAATACTTTTGAACTTGTTCGTGATACTGTAAACAGAATACAGAACGTAATGTACGAGAAGACGAAACATTTATTTTGTTTTATATATTTATATTTCTTCATCGATATTGTACAAAATTTAGTGTTGAAAGATTTAGTACTTACCAAAAAAATTTAAGATTTGAAACTAATAAAAATTTTTGAAGTGTTTAAGCGTATCAAAAGTGATTGGAATCATATATATGTATATTCGATGCGATTCAACGCGCACTTCAGAGCGCATCGCAGGCATTTAGCAATATATATCGCGTTTGTTTTATCTAAAAGCTAAAAGAATGACACGTATAAAAGGTTGTCGCTTTTGAAACACATAGGAAAAGAGTCAATTTACCTGAAAAAACTGTACTTTCCTTAGTTGTATCATTCTTCCAACAAACAGGTGATTTAATTTCATTTTACTTACTGACATTTCTTATCTTCTGACGATCTTCGAAGGTGAAATTATCCCGAGATGAGAAGATCCACGTTCTTCATCAACAATTTCCTTCACTTACTACTCGGAGAGAGGTAAACAAGTTTACAAAAAACACTATAAGTTGTTATGTATATAAATAATTTCACACCACCATCAACTGCTTGAATTCTGAGCAATAAATTAATTGAGAGTTAATGACCATTTTGTACCTAGAGTTGGAATTGTATAACAGAAAATTTGCTTGGTAATGAAATTTAATGGATTACATTTCATCGTCTTCGTACGTTTGTTAATGAAAACATGATTTCATAACTAACACTTAAAAATCATTTTTTATCAATTACTTTTAGTATCGAGAATTCAAATAGTTTTTTTTCGAAAAATCGATTATCCAATTATTAGGTATACATCTTTTAGCATTTGTAAACAAAATAATCGTGCGTACGCACAACGGAATTGCAGCACCCCTAATTTTTCTCAGTGTACAAATATATTTATTAATTTATTTATATTTACTCGTAACATTTAAATTTTATCATCGACAGTCGTATACGAATCCCTTATTTCGTATAAAAAATGATAAAAATGCATTCACACTGTATTTACACTGGATTTGCAAAATGGTCTCGGTGTTTGTAGAATAGTTCTATCACTTGGGGGAATATTGTAAAAACAGAAAACATTTGGCACGGAATACATTGGATTTCTTGAATCGTCAACAAAATTGAAACATAATTGTTTAGAATATTACGTGCGTATTATTACCACAAAACAGTTTTTCAAATGCGAATTTCATGCTATTATTTTTTTTTTTTTTTAATCTTCATCCTATCGTTTGAAATATCATCGTAGACTTTCGTTTTAGTAGCATCAATCTACTTACACAGTTGTAAAAAAATACTTATTTTTTTCAGAATTACCTCGCCTATCAGAAGAAAGAGGATGAGGAAAGATGCGACAGCTTGACTCAACAGTTTCGGTAGAGTCCGTTGAAATGGCCATAATCCAATAAAAGACAAAAGACGCTTATTCAATCGGAAGGTAGGTTGTTCGAAGAAATCCATGCCGACTGTCGTTCCGTTTCTGCCAGTGCACCGACTCATACTTACAAAGAGACGAAGACAAGTCAATAAAAATTGCATGCACCGAAATCGACGTGAATTCGCTTATTAAATCATTAGCAAATTAGTTAAGTGTTCGAACAGTCGTAATAGTTCAGCGTTCTACATTCACTAACCTGAGAGACGAGACGAGGTCTTTACGTTTCCATTTCTCTTTTAGAACGTCTTTGTTGAAATTATAATGCCTATAATAGTACACACATTTGCGAAATGATAAAATAGATTCAGCCAATTAAAGGAGATTATTACTTCATCGCCTTCTCTTCTTTTTGGTCGCCCTACACAGGACGTTCTGCGTTTCTAGTACGAGAAACTATTGAATTATTAAGCGAGCCGTTTAAAGCGGATATAGAAGAATAATTGCTCACATTAGAACGATTTTCATTTCACAGTGAGATATACCCTTTCGTGCGTGCGATTTCTTCACAGTTTCGTTGAAAAGCAGATAAAGTTAACAGTGACTACTTTGAGAGAGTCTTATAGTTTTATAGAAGTAGTAAAGAAATATTATTTTCTAGAAGACGCTTTTTTTTTAGTTTTGGAGCATTTGACACTTTTTTCACATATTCTTTCTTTTCTGTTAGGACATAAATATATTGTTCTACCGACTATATTGAACTACTAAATGTTACTCTTGAAATATAATACTTCCTGAACGAGTGATAGCGACACAAATCTAATTTAGTCGTAATCAGTAATCAGTCACCATACACAAGTATTTTGTGAATTTATTAATGGAAGTTTAAATTTTTAGCAGAATGTGATATTTGGCATGGAATAGAATTTCATATCATTTCATTCAGTTTTCTCAAGCATCATTCTCTTATGAATAAGTTGTATTTATTTATTCACATATTTTGCCTTATATTTATATTTTATGCATTTTCTTTCAGAGTAGAGGAATTTTCAATATATGGAAAGTTAGCTATATTTCGGCCATCGAATGCATACCACCGCTCGTAACTATCTACCTCTCCATAGCGACGTATTCCAACATATTTTTTAATGGAGAGAAGGTATTTTCTTCAACTTACGTAGTCTATAAATATTAAGAGTTGAATTTTATTGAATGTGATTTTAATTGATTTTAATTGATTTTAATTAATAGAAATACGCTGATTTTAATTGATTTTAATTAATAGAAATACCCTGATTTTAATTGATTTTAATTAATAAAAATAAAATTTGAAGGATATCGTTTAATGGGATAGTCGAAATAAGCCATTTGAAGAGGGACATCAGTATTGCTTTGAACTAAATAAATTCAAAGATTTTGAATTAAATAAGACAAAATTGAGCCAATTGGAAAGATTGTCAGATCAACACATTTTCAGATGTTGATGGAGATAGATGAACCTTTTTTGAAGGAAGTGATCATTTTTTATTGAGTGTTTTTGAGCTCAACGTATACGTATATTTATCTCTCGAGACATATATCATATTCATACTGATTATATTAAATACCTTATGTATTTATATATTTCAAATATGCGTAATTACCCAAGGCCATTCACGAAATGAGCTTTTAACAACTCTCCGATGTCACAAGATATTTACAAAAATATCTGAAATAATTTTTTCAAGACGAAAATACTCCTCCAGTACAATTACTCTCAAATGAACGTTCCTTTCTTTATTTGTACTGAACAATCTTTCCACTTTTCTTCTTATTTCAGGTTAAGAATGTACTGTTATTTATTAAAAATGACCATGAGTACTACATGAACCGTCCAGAAAATAAGATTCTCCAATATTATGCTGTACAGGGAAGTAAAATTGGATTTTATTACGTTTGTAAGTGTATCAGATTCAAAAATGAAAAGAAATACTTGTCATCAATTTTCGAAAGTTTTTGTATTTTAGCTTACATTTATTCAACATTATTCGCGTACATATTATTACCAACGGTAACATTGGTAATTGTATCTTCGAATAATTCTGAGTTTAAAAACTTGCCAGTCGTTGTCGATTTCGGCGTGGACTTGCAACAATATTACTATCATTTGTTTATACCTGCTTACATGTCAATGTTCATGGTTGTCCATGTGGTTGCGTCTTACGATAATACATACATGGTGTATGTTCAACACACCTATGCTCTGCTTTCGATTGTGAAGTACGGTTCGTCTCTATTAAATAAAAAATTTATTTGATCTCAAAAGGATATTTTTCCAGTTACAAACTAAAAACTATGCACATTTTGGATACGAACAGTTTTATAGACTTAAAGAATGATCGTTTGATCGAAAAGTACAACAATATTGAATTATCATCGGTGGACAAAGAGAAAATTTTTAGGAAACTAGTGCTTTGCATAAAAGAACATCAAAATGCAATAGAGTTGGTGATCTTGCTGTTAATGTAAAATCATATTGTTTATTTCCTTCGTATTAAATTAATCAACGTTATTTTTCGCAGATACGCAAATCTTGTTGAATCATTATTCTCTAAATCCATATTGGTACAATTGTTTTGTAACGTTATCACTCTTACTATTGGTGGAGTTGAGGTAAGTACTGTATTTGATATTGTACTTATATTATATATTATTAGTATACGTTATACTTCTATAATTATTATATTATGCTTTATTATTTTTAGACTGTCACGAATTTAGGTGTCAATACAGGCAATATGACGCGATTTGGAGCTCTTACATTTGCACAGGTTATACGCATATTTGTTCTTTGCCTTCCTGGACAAAGACTACTGAATCACAGTGAAGAGTTGCACGCTGCGGTGTAAGAGAATGTTTATTATTAATATTCTCCAAGTTTTACGATCGAAGCAATAAGTGACAACTAATACATTTAGATGCGAGACTAGGTGGTACATCTTTCCAGAAAACTGTCTTAATTTATATAAGTTCGTACTTGCAAGAAGTATGATATTGAACAAAATAACAGCATTCAATATGGCCGTCATGTCGATGGAAACGTTTCAAATGGTAGTAATTTTTTATTTCTACCTGTTTTAACACATATACCTCGGGTCGAAGAGATAGCACACTCTAAAAATTATTAATTTCTTTTCCCCGCAACCTATTTTTGCAAATTTATGTGTTTATTATCTTAATAAACCGACACCATTACGTACACTTAACCGACTGTGTTTCACACAAATGTTACGCTTTCGGTAGTTTTTGTATGATTAAGGAGCGTAAATATTCGATTTGTGCATTGCCTCGCGAAGATACAAAATTTTTTGTATTTCTTTGAGAAATTGCGCCCCGGTAATGACATTTAACACATAGCACACATAATCCAAGCCCATGAAAATACGGATGTAATAATCTACCCATTCTCTCAGCTTTACGATAGACAGTATAAGAAAATGTGAGAAAATAAGTGTGTGCTATCTTTTTATAAGCTGCAGACCGATTTTGTGCGCACTACGAAATGCGGATGATTTTTTGCACTTAAAACATTTTAATAGTAATTTAAAGAGTAAAAGTAGTGAGTTAATGGTAACTAAAATAATCCATGGTTCGCGATTAACGCATAGACTTAAAAACGAAAAATTTTCCCAAATGAAACAGAGTGAAACGGCATTTTTCGTGATATAGTTGAGCGTTAAATAATCATAAGATCATATATAATTTTATATTGTTTATGTTTTCAGATTATTAAGACCGCAATGAGTTACTTCACTGTATTATTATCAACTACATGAAGTGAAAACTGAACGCGACTTTGTTCTTGTATTTTTTGTTACCTTACATATTGTATGGTGTAATGGAGTAATAATTTTATTGTTTATGTTGTAGTACTCAGATAAGAGGAAATATACTTGAAGATGGATAAATATATTTATATCAATGCGTAATATTTAACATTTACACATAGTACTATGTCACATGTTATACATGTTATACAATATTATGTCG